AAAGAAACGAACAGACTGTTCTCACAGAACGCAATTCATTAGTGAAACTGAACAGAAAGAAACTGTTCTCATTCAGGAACGCAATTCGGCAGTTTAGTGTAAAGTGACAGGAAGCATTGTGGGAACACTGAGGAAAGCTAGGTATCATGGGAAAATTGCTCTGACCAACGGAAATGAAGCACACTTTGCTCATCCGCTGGTCATGTTTTTATTGAACACACCATGTAAACATTCACAATGCAGGTGGAAAAAGTATGTGAACCCTTGGATTTAATAACTGGTTGAACCTCCTTTGGCAGCAATAACTTCAACGAAACGTTTCCTGTAGTTGCAGATCACACGTGCACAACGGTCAGGAGTAATTCTTGACCATTCCTCTTTACAGAACTGTTTCAGTTTAGCAATATTCTTGGGAATGTGTGGTGTGAATCGCTTTCTTGAGGTCATGCCACAGCATATCAATTGGGTTGAGGTCAGGACTCTGACTGGGCCACTTCAGAAGGCGTATTTTCTTCTGTTTAAGCCATTCTGTTGTTGATTTACTTCTATGCTTTGTGTCATTGTACTGTTGCGCTACCCATCTTCTGTTGAGCTTCAGCTGGTAGACAGATGGCCTTAAGTTCTCCTGCAAAATGTCTTGATAAACTTGGGAATTCATTTTTCCTTCGATGATAGCAATCCGTCCAGGCCCTGACGCAGCAAAGCAGCCCCAAACCATGATGCCCCCACCACCATACTTCACAGTTGGGATGAGGTTTTGATGTTGGTGTGCTGTGCCTTTTTTTCGCCACACATAGTGTTGTGTGTTTCTTCCAAACAACTCAACTTTGGTTTCATCTGTCCACAGAATATTTTGCCAGTACTGCTGTGGAACATCCAGGTGCTCTTGTGCAAACTGTAAACGTGCAGCAATGTTTTGTTTGACAGCAGTGGCTTCCTCTGTGGTATCCTCCCATGAAATCCATTCTTGTTTAGTGTTTTACGTATTGTAGATTCGCTAACAGGGATGTTAGCATTTGCCAGTGACTTTTGTAAGTCTTTAGCTGACACTCTAGGATTCTTCTTCACCACATTGAGCAGTCTGCGCTGTGCTCTTGCAATCATCTTTACAGGACGGCCACTCCTAGGGAGAGTAGCAGCAGTGCTGAACTTTCTCTATTTATAGACAATTTGTCTTACCTTGGACTGATGAACACCAAGGCTTTTGGAGATACTTTTATAACCCTTTCCAGCTTTATGCAAGTCAACAATTCTTAATCGTAGGTCTTCTGAGAGCTCTTTTGTGCGAGGCATCATTCACATCAGGCAATGCTTCTTGTGAAAAGCAAACCCAAAACTGGTGTGTGTTTTTTATAGGGCAGGGCAGCTGTAACCAGCACCTCCAATCTCATCTCATTGATTGGACTCCAGTTGGCTGACATCTCACTCCAATTAGCTCTTGGAGATGTCATTAGTCTAGGGGTTCACATACTTTTTCCACCTGCACTGTGAATGTTTACATGGTGTGTTCAATAAAACATGGCAACATTTCATTCTTTGTGTGTTATTAGTTTAAGCAGACTGTGATTGTCTATTGTTGTGACTTAGATGATGATCAGATCACATTTTATGACCAATTTGTGCAGAAATCGATATCATTCCAAAGGGTTCACATACTTTTTCTTGCAACTGTATATACAGGGACAATACAAACTATGCTAACCTGTTCATTAGGAGGAATATACAACAAACAAGAGGTCACCCATTGAGACTGGAAGAAAGGCGATTTTACAGTAAGAACAATAAAGATTTGGAATTCTCTGCCTAACGAGGTTGTTTTTATCAGATTCTATAGATATTTTAAACAAGGGCTTGGATGCCTTTTTGCATAAGCAGAATATTCAAGGATATTATAATTGATATGTATTAAAGAGGTTGTTGATCGAATGAGAAATCTGGAGTCAAGAAGGAATTCTGTTCTACCTTTTTGAGGCATACTTGAAAATGGCAAAATATTTAATTATTTTTTTTGTATTGTTTTGAATCATGAGCGTAAAATAATGGGTCTCAAAGTTGAACTTGATGGACTTTTGTCTTTTTTCAACCTAGACAACTGTGTAATTATTGCTGTAGAGCTCAGTCATACAGCTATTGCTGTGGAGCTATGTGAGTCTCTCACGGTGAGTTGTATTGCTGTGGACCTCTGTGAGTCTCTCACAGTGAGTTTTGTTGCTGTGGAGCTCTGTGAGTCTCTCACAGTGAGTTTGATTGCTGTGGAGCTCTGTGAGTCTCCCACAGTGAGTTCTAATGCTTTGGAGCTCTGCGAGTCTCCCACGGTGAGTTTTATTGCTGTGGAGATCTGTGAGTCTCTCACAGTGAGTTTTATTGTTGTGGAGCTCTGTGAGTCTCTCATGGTGAGTTTGATTGCTGTGGAGCTCTGTGAGCCTCCCACAGTGAGTTATATTGCTGTGGAGCTCTGTGAGTCTCCCACAGTGAGTTTTATTGCTGTGGAGCTCTCACAGTGAGTTTTATTGCTGTGGAGCTCTGTGAGTCTCTCACTTTGAGTTGTATTGATGTGGAGCTCTGTACAGTGAGTTTTATTGCTGTGGAGCTCTGTGATTCTCCCACAGTGAGTTTATTGCTGTGGAGCTCTCACAATTTTATTGCTGTGGAGCTCTGTGAGTCTCTCACTGTGAGTTTGATTGCTGTGGAGCTCTGTGAGTCTCTCACAGTGAGTTTTATTGCTGTGGAGCTCCGTACGGTGAGTTTTATTGCTGTGGAGCTCTGTGAGTCTCTCACAGTGAGTTTTATTGCTGTGGAGCTCTGTGAGTCTCCCACAGTGAGTTTATTGCTGTGGAGCTCTCACAATTTTATTGCTTTGGAGCTCTGTGAGTCTCTCACTGTGAGTTTGATTGCTGTGGAGCTCTGTGAGTCTCTCACAGTGAGTTTTATTGCTGTGGAGCTCCGTAGAGTGAGTTTTATTGCTGTGGAGCTCTGTGAGTCTCTCACAGTGAGTTTTATTGCTGTGGAGCTCTGTGCAGTGAGTTTCTATTGCTGCGGAGCTCTGTGAGTCTCTCACAGTGAGTTTTATTGCTGTGGAGCTCTGTGCAGTGAGTTTTATTGCTGTGGAGCTCTGTGAGTCTCTCACAGTGAATTTTATTGCTGTGGAGCTCTGTGCAGTGAGTTTTATTGCTGTGGAGCTCTGTGCAGTGAGTTTCTATTGCTGTGGAGCTCTGTGTGTCTCTCACAGTGAGTTTTATTGCTGTGAAGCTCTGTGAGTCTCTCACAGTGAGTTTTATTGCTGTGGAGCTCTGTGAGTCTCTCACAGTGAGTTTTATTGCTGTGGAGCTCTGTGTGTCTCTCACAGTGAGTTTTATTGCTGTGGAGCTCTGTGTGTCTCTCACAGTGAGTTTTATTGCTGTGGAACTCTGTGAGTCTCTCACAGTGAGTTTTATTGCTGTGGAGCTCTGTACAGTGAGTTTTATTGCTGTGGAGCTCTGAGTCTCTCACAGTGAGTTTTATTGCTGTGGAGCTCTGTGTGTCTCTCACAGTGAGTTTTATTGCTGTGAAGCTCTGTGAGTCTCTCACAGTGAGTTTTATTGCTGTGGAGCTCTGTGAGTCTCTCACAGTGAGTTTTATTGCTGTGGAGCTCTGTGTGTCTCTCACAGTGAGTTTTATTGCTGTGGAGCTCTGTGTGTCTCTCACAGTGAGTTTTATTGCTGTGGAGCTCTGTGAGTCTCTCACAGTGAGTTTTATTGCTGTGGAGCTCTGTGCAGTGTGTTTTATTGCTGTGGAGCTCTGTACAGTGAGTTTTATTGCTGTGGAGCTCTGTGAGTCTCTCACAGTGAGTTTTATTGCTGTGGAGCTCTGTGCAGTGAGTTTCTATTGCTGCGGAGCTCTGTGAGTCTCTCACAGTGAGTTTTATTGCTGTGGAGCTCTGTGCAGTGAGTTTTATTGCTGTGGAGCTCTGTGAGTCTCTCACAGTGAATTTTATTGCTGTGGAGCTCTGTGCAGTGAGTTTTATTGCTGTGGAGCTCTGTGCAGTGAGTTTCTATTGCTGTGGAGCTCTGTGTGTCTCTCACAGTGAGTTTTATTGCTGTGAAGCTCTGTGAGTCTCTCACAGTGAGTTTTATTGCTGTGGAGCTCTGTGAGTCTCTCACAGTGAGTTTTATTGCTGTGGAGCTCTGTGTGTCTCTCACAGTGAGTTTTATTGCTGTGGAGCTCTGTGAGTCTCTCACAGTGAGTGTTCTATTGCTGTGGAGCTCTGTGTGTCTCTCACAGTGAGTTTTATTGCTGTGGAGCTCTGTGAGTCTCTCACAGTGAGTTTTATTGCTGTGGAGCTCTGTGAGTCTCTCACAGTGAGTTTTATTGCTGTGGAGCTCTGTGTGTCTCTCACAGTGAGTTTTATTGCTGTGGAGCTCTGTGTGTCTCTCACAGTGAGTTTTATTGCTGTGAAGCTCTGTGAGTCTCTCACAGTGAGTTTTATTGCTGTGGAGCTCTGTGAGTCTCTCACAGTGAGTTTTATTGCTGTGGAGCTCTGTGTGTCTCTCACAGTGAGTTTTATTGCTGTGGAGCTCTGTGAGTCTCTCACAGTGAGTTTTATTGCTGTGGAGCTCTGTGCAGTGTGTTTTATTGCTGTGGAGCTCTGTACAGTGAGTTTTATTGCTGTGGAGCTCTGTGCAGTGTGTTTTATTGCTGTGGAGCTCTGTGAGTCTCTCACATTGTGTTTTATTGCTGTGGAGCTCTGTGAGTCTCTCACAGTGAGTTTGATTGCTGTGGAGCTCTGTGAGTCTCTCACAGTGTGTTTTATTGCTGTGGAGCTCTGTGCAGTGTTTGTATTATCAGGACAGAATGTGAACTGTCAGAGGTATGAGAGGAATCCTGATGAATGTATCCAGTAATGAGGTCAGTGACAGCCTATACAGGATAAATCCGCCCATCCAGCCCTCTCACTCGGACTATTTTTCCAAGCCGGTGACGTGTCGGATACGTCCAGGACGTGCTTTTGTCAAATGACGGATCACAAGCCTGCCTTGCCTGCAGTGTGGCGGAATGATTCACTGTGGTGAGATGGAGTTCCGGTCCGGTGTGTGGGATGGGAGCTTGTTAGATGAGCCTGTTGTATGTCAGCCCGGGGAGTGTAGTATCCTTCCGCCGGTACTGGGCGCTGTGTCCTGAGCGAGCTGTCCGCAGGAAGAGGGGGGTCCCTGCCGTACGCAACCTGAGGTGCGTGTCCCGGGGGGGCTGGGCACAGGCTCGGTGAGGGCTCAGTGCGGGCACTCCAGCTGCTGCGGACTACCTTTCCTGGGATGCTCAGTGCTAGCTCGCTAAGCATCATGGGAGACGTAGTCCACAACAGCTGGAGAGCTGGGGAGTAGGTTAGTAGATTGCTGTTCATCTCTGTGAGTGTGCTGCTGTCATTGAATTTGTTCTGTGAAGTGTTTTTTTTTTAAATTTATTTTAAAACCACCTGTTTACATTATGGTTTATACCAGGCTTGGCCTCCAGCTGTTGTAGGACTACACCTCCCATGATGCTCTGCCAGCCTTAATGCTTCCAAAACACCATGGGCTTTGTAGTTGTTACACCTGGGGTGGAACATTATCCATATTTTTATGTCTAAAATGAAAAGTTCTAAATCTGTTGCTATCAAAACGAAATGTATCTTGTTGCTCTATTTAGAATTCTGACTTAGAACTGCTTTCAGTTCATAGGGTTCTTTTACATGTTTGTCAATTTCTGCTTGTGACTTAGTCACGATGGGTACTTCCCATTCAATCCCCAAGTAGAAGAATTCTTTTTTTTTTAATGGAACATTTATACTTTATAAGAAAATAAACATTGTGGGGGAAAAAAAAAAAAGCTAAACTAAGGGAAAGGGTAAAGAAGAAGAAAAGAAAGGGCTAAAATTTATATTCACTAGTTTTGAATTTTCTGGAATTAAGTGTGATTTTTAATTTCTAGTTCAAATTAGACAAGTTGTGTGTGCCTTACCAAGGCTGCTATATATTTAAACACCGTCCAGTGCTTGATTGTGTGACCAAGTACAGACCAAGTTGTGCAGTATATGAGCATCTTTGACGTTTTATATCCGCAGCCCAGAAAATAGAATTCCGACTGACATCTCCTGGCAGACTGCTGCCATTATAGTCCTCTTTTAGAGGTGAGGTACGCTACACTATGCAAAGTTGTTATGGTACTTAGAGGGACAATTCAAAGACTTACTCTGTCGTATTATTGTCTTCTTATGGACAAACTACAAAGGTTGCACTGTGCAATAGTGAATGGAGATTAAGCACCCAGATTTTCAGCCTCATTGTGACTAGGTATTTTAGATACTTTCTCTTATCTCCTATGTGCTATACAATGCCCCCCAACAAAATAACAGTACCTGCTCTACAAATTATGGTGGTATGTGTCCAGTACATTTTGCTTTTAATCTTCCAAAAATACACTCAAAAAATAATAATAATGGAAATATTATGTGTTTGGACTTACAAAACTATGGATGGAAATAATGGCAATTATGATACTTCCATCTTGGCAAGTTGTCCACTTGATTGTGGGATTTTTTGTAAATTTAAATAAAATTCTAAATTAAAATTCTCTTAAAATATATATATATATATATATATATATATATATATATATAAAAAAAAAAAAAAAAGTCAGAAGAAGCCATAACATTATTTATAGATATAAATATAAAGAGCAATGATGACTGTAATATCACACTTTATATAGTTGTATACAGTTAATTCCATTCATTAACTCCTGGTGTGTGTGTTTTTTATTTTATTTTTAAAGAAATATTTGTTGTTGTTGTTAATACAGATTGGCAAACTAATTTGGGGATTTTTCTACATGCACAAAACGCCGAATAGTGATTACAACACAAACCAACCATTGGATGCACAATTTTGATCTGTTGTGGAGCCGACCATCTTTGAGCATGCACAAGTGTATGAAACTGTTGATTTGTCCAGCTATTCTTTGATACTTTGCCCCTTCCTTCATGTGAGATCAGGCAGAAGGTTTTTGGGGTCAAGATGAAGCCATGCTGGTGTTTAGGATGGTGCATTCTGGTTACACTGCACGTTATCGTTCTACTTTTGCCGCAATTGCCACATGCTGAACGTGTGACATCTGGATCTCCGCGTGAAGACACTGGAAAACACCACGGTAAGAAGCGTTTTTGTATATTCACTTTTGTTTGTAACAAGTTAATACTGTGTAAGGAGCATGTACTGAAACCAGTCCTCACTGACCAGAGATATTCAGATATTTAATCATGGGCAATAGATTCTGTGTAACAAGTGGTGAAATCATAACATCAAATAAAATACAACATTTTGAAGAGGGTTCTGTATGGATCAATTGCTGCTTATGGTAGTGTTAGATCCACTGCTTCTTAATGAGTGACTGGGAGAAGCTTGATTTAGGTCTTTCAAAATGTGTTCTCATGGAAACCCGTTTATTCATTATGAACGGAGAGGTTGATGGTGGGTTATTAAAGGTAACAACATGTGAGAGAGGTAGGTTCAATTTTTTATTTATATACCTGATCCCAGCACTAATGTCTCTCTGTGCTGGGTTTTGTCTCCGTCTCCTCTGACGTCCTGTGATGAGCTGGTGCTAAGGTGCGGCAAATACCACGCTCGCATCAAGCCTCCCCGTAGGAAAGCATTGAACCAATGCTTTCTTATGGGGAGAAATCTGATGCTGGATGTCCTCATGCAGAGCGTAAGGACGTTCAGCGTCCATTACTGGATCAAAGGTCTGTTGACAGCCACTAGGGGCAGACTTAGTGCTGCAATGTAAGCATTACAATTTCTCTGGAACTGCACTGTTTAACATTGCAGCACTAAGTGCAATAGGGACACTGCATCCAGACAACTTCAATAAGCTGAATTAGTCTGGGTGCCTATAATGTCCCTTTTAGACACTAAGCAGGTGCCAAGGATAAGTGAGAATCCAAATTAAGGTCTTATGAGACGATCCAGAAAGACCAAACGATTATTCCTTAAAAAAAAAAAAGCCAGAGTCCATTAAAAGATAGGGAACACAGAGTCCAAGTCAGCAGGCAAATTGAGAAAAAGCTTAGAACAGGGGCAGGCACCCTTTGGCATTCCAAATGTTGTGGACTACATCTGCCATAATGTATTTACAACCATATTGCTGACAAGGCATCAGGGAATGTAGTGCATAAGCTCTGGAGTTCTGAAGGTTGCCTACCCCTGCCTTAGACCTGGGCTCGACTAATCTAAGGTCACCATGGTGACTAGGATTTTCTTGCTGGTGCCTGGGAATTTGTCAGCCTATTTAACGGAGACAGTGCAGATGGTCGGTTGAGAATGCAGGTGGTCAGTTGATGAAGAGTGGAGGAGGCCAGCTGTGGGAGAGCAGAGAAGGGCGTGGGGCCTGGCCGTGCTGAACGCATGCAGTGAGGGAACTGTAATTCTCCCTCGTGCAACCTGCAGTGATGCTGGGAGTCGGAATATGACATCACTCCGGCACTGGCATCCCTAAACAACGCAAAGAGTGAACAGAGCAGGAAGATGAAAGCAGCCCTGCTCGTTCCCAGGGAGAGCAGAATTACTCCAGTTCATTTGAGTGTTTTAGAATCAGTGAGTGTGTCTGTCTGCCTGCGAGTTTGTCACTCTGTCAGTGAGTGTCTGTTTAGGTGACCGGTCCCCCTCTGATTGCATGTTAAAGGATATTATCCTTTTTTAAAATAATTTTTTTTTTTTTTTTTCAATGCTGTGCCGGTCTTGCCGTGGCTGGCGCCACCTCTATAGCTGAGATAATCAATCTTGATGATCTCAGCCACGCCAATGCTTCCCTGAGGTTATTGTGCATGCACTAATCAGCATTTTCTCATAGAGATGCATTGAATCAATGCATCTCTATGGGGAACCATTTAGCGCCTCCATGCAGAGCATGGAGATGCTGGACATAGTCTAAGAATCGCCTCTACTGGTGTTACTGGGCAGTAATGTAAACACTGCCTTTTCTCTGAAAGATACATGAAGGGTAAAGCACACAAAGTTCTGACAAGAATGGTGCTGGAACAAAAGTGAGGTAATTGTATCTCAAAAACCTACATTGAATACATTATGTATCTCTGTGATTTAGGATGTATTCAATGTGTATGGGGAAAATTCAAGATAAGTAATTTTTCCCATTGCAGGTTTATTCTAAACTCTCCCTCCTTTCCTTGTTGTCCTTTTCTGTTCCTGACTTCATCTGCCAGGTGCTGTCATCATTACTGTCATTTTGCAAATGTGAAAGAATACTAAATGGTATTTGTGGTGGTTCCCACAAGACCACAGGGTCTTCAATAGATAATCTTTCACCTGTGCAGTGATATAATCATGTTTTGCGCATTGTGCAAGACAGAGCTGGTGGAAATGGCTCGGAAAACTGTTTGCCAAAGATAGTTGAGAAAAAGTTCCTACTTTGTCTTATGAATATCTTTTGGCTGAGTTGAAGTTTCAGAGAAATTACAATGCAATTTATGTTTATGAAAAGCTTGGTAGAGAGAGAGAGAGAGAGAGAGAGAGCAGCTTTTTTTTGCTAGAAGGTGTAGTGAGTGTGTAATGTGATGCTGGGCTCTCACCGCAGCAGCCTCGGGCTGTTATAATTAATTGGAAAAGGAATCACAGTGCAAGTCCTGGGGAGACCAATCTCAGAAGCCCCACTCCCTGTAGAGGCACTTCACAACAGCTAGCATGGACTCTGCTCTTTACCACTTGGCAATGTAAACTCCTTCACCAGGGCTCAGTTTCCTCTTGCATAGTGCAAGAACGCAAGTGGAATTTGTGAGCCGGGCGAGTTATGAAAATGTTAACATTTCAGAAAATAAGGCCCAGCTTGGCAGAGTTGTGTTATTTATTTATTTTTCTTAATGCTGTTTTCCGATATTCAGGGTTCTTGTGATCTACTATTTTTGATTTGGTTAACCCAAAATTAGTCCCCTAGCTCCTGCCAGCACTACCTCCCTCAGTCCTCATCTGGCTACTGTACATTGCAGAGTTTGCCTCGGCTTTGCCTTAGGACGTTCCATGACTTGCAGTGGGCAGTTCAGTGACTGGCTGAGCATGTCAGCTGATGTCAGCCAATCCCCAGCCGCCCAGGTAAACCTTCTACTGTACGGCAGACCGACAGTGAGGCAGTGCTTGAGGGCACTGAGATACCATCTTTGGGATTAGACCATTCAAAATTGGTTTAAACCTGAAGGTAAGATGGCACCCAGTATTGTAAGTCTCCATAACAACTTCATTGAGATACTATCTAGCATAATGTGGAACAAATTATTAATAATAATATTTTATTTATATAGTGCCATCACATTCCGTAGCGCTGTACAATGGGTGGACTAACAGACATGTAATTTTAACCAGACAACAGCGAGGTGGAGGGTCCTGCTCAATGAGCTTACATTCTAGAGGGAGTGGGGTATAGTGACAAAAAGGGTAAAAGTAGGGATATGAAGTAGGTTGTTAGAAAAGTATTCATTGAGAGCTTAGTAGATAATATTTGACAGTTGCAGGAGAGGAGTCAAGGGGGATGGGGATTAAAAACCTGCTAACAGTTTAATTTATATGCTTTCTTGAAGTGAATTTTCAATGATTTATTTTTTTGAATGAGTGGAGACTGGGTGAAATTCTTACGGAGAAGGGAAGGGAGTTTCACAGAAGAGGTGCAGCCCGTGAGAAATCTTGGAGGCGAGCATAAGAGGTGGGCGGACGGACAGAGGATATACGTAGGTCTTTGGCAGACCGTAGGAGCCTTGATGGGACATACTTGGGTATTAGGGAGGATAGGTAGGTTGGAGCAGCATTATGTAGGGACTTGTAAGCAAGCACCAGAATTTTAAATTGAGTCCTATATCTAACTGGAAGCCAATGCAGGGACTGAGAGAACGGGGAGGCGTGGGAGGTGCGAGCAGACAGGAAAATGAGCCTTGCCGCCTCATTCATTATAGACTGCAGCGGTACAATCTGGGAACACGTAAGACCACTGAGCAGGGTATTGCAGTAGTCAAGGCGAGAGAGAACAAGAGCATGGACCAGCACCTTAGCTGCATCCAGGGTTAAATAGGGGCGAATGCGCGCTATGTTTTTGAGATGGAAGCGACAGGATTTTGCGATCGATTGGACATGAGGGGTGAAGGAGAGATTGGAGTAAAAAAGAACACCTAGGCAACGAGCCTTCGAGGTAGAGGTGATGGTAGTGCCATTGACTTGGAGGGAGACAGACACTGGAGTAGTAACACTTGAGGTAGGAAAGACCAGAAGTTCTGTTTTGGACAGGTTGAGTTTAAGCAAGTGAGCAGCCATCCAGTTGGAAATCGTAGAGAGACACGAGACAAGATGGGTGGAGAGAGATCAGCAGAGGACAGATAGATTTGCGTGTCATCCGCATAGAAATGATAACGGAAGTCATAGGAGCTGATTAGTTTACCAAGAGAAGAGTAGGGGACCAAGGACAGAACCTTGGGGGACGCCAACAGAGTGTTGTTGGGGGGAAGAGGCAGAGCCAGAGAGAGAAACACTGAAAGAGAGCTGGGAGAGGTAGGAAGAACACCAGGAGAGAGCAGTATCCCGTAGACCAAAATTACAGAGAATGCGAAGAAGCTGTTGATGATCAACAGTGTCAAAGGCAGCAAAAAGAATTAGGATAGAGCAATGGCCATGAGATTTAGAAGCAATTAAATCGTTGGATACTTTGGTCACAGCCGTTTCGACAGAATGACCAGCACAGTATCCAGACTGAAGGGGGTCAAGCAGAGAGTTGGATTCAAGAAAGTCAGTCAATCTGGTGTACACAACTCTCTCGAGGAGGCAAATGGCAGTAACAAGATAGGGCGGTAGTTGGATGGGGAGTTGGGGTCAAGGCTAGGCTTTTTCAGAATCGGGGTTATAGTTGCATGTTTGAAGGGTGAGGGAAATGTGCCAGAGGAAAGGGAGAGATTAAAAACTTTAGAGAGAGGGAGACAAAGTGCGGACGAGATACGAGGGAACAGGTGGTGGGGCTGGAGGATCGGAGCCGAGCAGAAACCTCTTCTGCTGTAGCAGGTGCGAATGAGTGTATTATTGTGGAGGGAGTGGGGTAGGGTGATGTATTGGTAGAGGAAGGAGAGAAATTTGCGATCTCTTCTCTGATTGTAGAGATCTTCTCAGTGAAGTGAGATGCAAAGTTTGTGATTCAGAAAGAGGGGGAAGTAAAAGGGCGAAGAAGAGCATCAAAAGTGTGAAATAGGTGTTTTGGTTGATGGGACAGTGTACTTATGAGGGTGTTTAAAGTAATTTTACTTTTGCAGCAGAGAGAGCCAGGCTGTAGGAGCGTAGAATAAATTTATAGTGGAGGAAGTCAGATGCAAAGTGAGACTTTCTCCAGCAGCGTTCAGTAGTTTTAGAACATTTTTGGAGATAACGGGTCAGCTTGGTGTGCTATGGTTGTAATTGGGGGGCGCTTACTGCGTTTAATTGTAGGAGGTGTCATGATGTCGAGTCGAGAAGAGAGTTGAGTTGTAGAGTGAGGTTGCAGAGTTAGGGCAAGTTAGATTTGAGATGGGTAAAATAAATACATCTCAGTACTCTAGTCTCTACTGAGCTCCAATAGCCTCTCTATGTCTACTGGGGAAAATAATTACTGTGATGTTTTTAGACATTGACATACAGCCTTTTTAAAGGGTCTACATGGTTTATTAAAGGAGCTATAGAGAATATGTTTGCGTTGAGTTGTATACACAATACTGACTTTTTGAGAGGAGGAAGTTCCTATATAGAGTTCTATACACAATGCTGATAGGTAGAACAGCTATAGTTTTTTTCTAAGTGTCCGCTTCAGCATGGGACCAAACGTATATAAAAAAAAAAAAAAGTTTTATTCATCCTACGTCTGTGCTATGCTGCAACCCTAGAATTTCTTCCTTCTTCAAATATACGAATAGCACTGAGCTATTATTCTCGTAGGTAGTAATGCAGGTGTTTGCACACCTCCATGAGGGATTTAGTGTGATATTTCTTGCTGCAGGGGCTGGTTACTATCATCTCCTGGGGGAAGACTTTACTACGGACTGGTCACACCCTGTCTTTCACATGGCTATTAATATAAATGTGACTCTTACTGTCTGTGTATTCCAAATCATACTATCACTGTGTGTATATAAATGTCTAAAACATAATGCCTGTCTTTACTCATTTGCATATCAAACTGGGAACTTTTGGGATAGTTGTGGAAACCTGATTCTGCAGGTTTCTGTGCACAAGGAGAACTTTTCAAAGTCGAACATGAGATACGCAGGTGATCCATAACAATTTTATATTATATTTCTTTGTTGTTTACATTTCTCCTCCACAATCTGCTCTGAACTTATATAATAATTTCACTGGGAAGTAGAAACTCACCCCTGGTGACTGTCATGGACTCTAAGGGCTTGCTGTGGTGAATAACTTTTCATTTCTGGCTAGTAGTGTAGGACTTGGTGTGTGTGTGTCTAAATTGTTCCATGGATTAATTTGGCTTGGCTTGGCTTGTATTGGTTTGCATTGCAATGTAAGGTAAGTATTTAATTATGTCTATGAGAGTAGGTAAGGACAAAATTAAGTAAATTTGTTTCTGTGTGATTCATGCACGCTTATTCTGTTCACATACTACATACTATGATGTTTGTCACATGCTCTTTGGCTCACACTTACATCATATGGTGGGTGGCTGATTGTATTTTGTACAAGTAACAACTGGGAGCGGTTTCCATGGTGAGTGTTTTACAGTGTAATTTACATTTCCTACCTCAATTCGATGACTTCTATGACTACAATAATTGGAACATTAAAGTTACATCCAAATGTTGATGTATCTATCATTGCGGAATATTTTAACCCAGTATAAATAAAGCATATTACAAAAATTGATTCATAAAAAAAATACAGTAGGCTCTGAGAGTCCGTTCTGCAGATTTAATAACAGATTAATTTCACAGCTGGCCTGTGTTGAGAGCCAGTGCATTTCGCAGCTGATCATGTTATGAGATACCAGTGTGTGATTTTAAAGCGATACAGTAATACTTAATTGCAATGAATAGGTATTATGTGAAAAACAAACTTAATAGAACACGACACGTCCCATAATAAATATAGAAATGAAGTTAAGACAGGGGTCCCCTGGTGCCTCCTTACCTTTTAGGGGTTAAACTGTTCATGAACTGTTTAACACCTAAGTTGGCTCTCCAGCACTGTTCCTTCATGAAGCCGTCCACATCCTCTTTCTCTAAACAGTGGCTCCCCATTCATAAAACAGGTACATACCCTTTTTTTATTTTTATTTTTTTGAATAGAGAGCTACTGATTGGCTTAGAGCACCGGTGGCAGAGCAAACATTTACAATATAAAAACAGAGAACATTGGAGAAGAAGCAGTTATAATTAATATACTATATTAATACATGAACTTTATAATACAAATAACATTTGTATTTTTCAACTCTGTAAATCTGTAATATTGTAAACTCATAGAGGAAGTTCATCTTAATGTTCTTTTAACCCTTTAAGGACCATACTTCTGGAATAAAAGGGAATCATGACATGCCACACATGTCATGTGTCCTTAAGGGGTTAAAGGACCATTATAGTCACCCAGACCACTTCAGCTCAATGACGTGGTCTGGGTACCAGGTCCCCTTGGTTTTAACCCTTCACATGTAAACATAGCAGTTTCAGAGAAATTGCTATGTTCTCATCGAGGGTTAATCCAGCCTCTAGTGGCTGTCTACCTGACAGCCACTAGAGGCCGCTTCCGCGATTCTCACTGTGAAAATCACATGGAGAGGACACAGACGTCCATAGGAAAGCATTGAGTAATGCTTTCCTATGGACGGTTTGAATGCGCGCGTGGCTCTTGCCGCGCATGCGCATTTGGCGCGGACATCGGCAGGGGGAGGAGAGGTCACCAGTGCCAAGGGAGCCCGGCGATGGATTAAGGTAAGTGGCTGTAGGGGTTTTAACCCCTCGGGTCAAGAGGGTGGGGGGACCTAATAACCCTATAGTGCCAGGAAAACGAGTTTGTTTTCTTGACACTATAGTGCTCCTTTAAGATTTCAGGTCTTAACTGAAGCCTCTGATGTCCACATACTTGTCATAAAATCTATATGCTATTCTGCATTTCCTAGTTTTGAAAAACATAGAAAATAATTAAATGGACACTTTAGACCCTAACTGCTTTCTCATTGACGTTTTTAAGGTGCCTTGAGTCCTACTTTACGGTTTATGATCAGTTTACCTCTGAGTTAGGTTCCTCAAGCTTAGCTTAATGAGTGCCATCTAAAGCTTCATACTTGAGCTTCTAGCACCCTGAGCTACCTCACTCCTGACAATACAACTGCTTTTGCTATGGTGCTTGGAGTGTTCCATTAAAAACACAATTCATTTCGGCTTTGAAAAGTTTAAAATCAGTTAAAGGTACCTGTCATGACAAACACAACTAACTTCATCTTAATTTCATCTATATATTGTTACTCTTGCAGAATTACTAGCAGGTGTCTAGATTTCTCTAAAATCAGAGATTGAAAAGTAGCCATTTTCCCCCTTTTGTAAGTTAATTCAGGCGGTGCCAATCGGCCCAGAGATACGAAGGAGGTGCTCTCCATGTCTGTTATCAGGGAAATTCTCTTGTTTGGATCATCATGCTTGCATTCATCTGAAGTGAATGCAATGCCTGCAAGTGGAAGGAGGGGCAGGCTCTGTGTGAGAGCAGCAGCAGCAGCACGGTGAGAGAGACACAGAATGATTTATTGCAGGATATTTGTCCAGTTGATCTAAGAATGGAGAGTGAAAGAAAACAGATACTTTTAAACTTGTTCTGGAGAAGCAAATCTGTGCTTCCTATACAAGGGTACAAAGGAGGTGTGTCTTACAGCAAAGGTAACACCTACTGAAAACATGATTGATTGCTCTCCACAATTAAGTTAAAATATGGGCTTTTAATGCTATTAAGGGAAGAAACACTTAATTGTATTATGAGTCAAGCCAAACATCTATCATGACATGTATACTTTAAACTCACCTTGATATCGCCAGGAGAGTCTGCTTTCTGCAGCTACCACCTGCCTCTGATTAGTATTGGGACAAACCATGCATGCGCAAAGCATTCTGAATGTCATATCCTGATTCTACAGTCCTGATTCTACAGAAGGAAGGTGTCCGAGAACATGGTGAATAATGAGACCTTGTCAGGTTGACTGGTATAGAAGCACATGTGTTTTATACTCCCCTGTAAATTGTACCTAGTAACTGATTCAGTACTTTTTGCTGAGGTGAGTAAGATTATAATGGGGACCAAAATGCTAGTGAAAGTTTATTTTCAAATAAAACCCATCCTCTCTATGTTATACATTATTCCTGTTTTGTGCAGACATTGCTTATATTCTAAAAGGGGAAAAAAAGCTTGTTCTTGTTATTTGTGTTATTTTTAAATTTATTTTAAATGCGTTGTTTGCATATTCTTTATTTTATGTGATGGTATTTGATACAGATTAAGTCCATCACCTGTGAGGAATCATGGACTTTCCTGCATATCCAATCTTGCTGCATTTGTGTTTTGTTTTTGTTGTTTTTTTGTGTTAAACCATGTTGTTTTGGATGTTGTAAAATCCCCGGTAACTAAAAAGGAAAATAGGAGGAACATGACGTGAATACGTGAATTTGTTTACTTGGCTTATTTTTAATCTCGCTCCTTCACGCATTGGATTAGAAAATAGGGGTCAGTTCTGGTCTGACGTTTTTCAGGGATATCAGGACTGTCCATTTTTGTAGTGTATTGAAATTAACATAATTCTCTACCAACCGTTAATGTGTTTAGAGACTGTGGATAATCATAGTGTCTGAAAGAATCCTGTCTGGCCAGTTGATGGATTGCGTCTAATGGACATACCTTATTTATTTGTATATCTTGTTTGACGACCTAAGGAGTCTAGAAATGTTACTTTTTTTTTTTTTTAATGAGCAGAACTCTGAATGCTCACTTGCTCCCCCACTATTTTCTCAGCAGTTAGAGCTGGCAGATTGGTCAGAAAACAAAATGTGCATTAAAATATTTGCAATCTGCTCCTTGTTGTTTGTGCTATGCTCAATGCGGCCTCTGAACGTGGGGGAGGGAGAATATCTGCTCAGATAGATAAGGCAAGGATTGCAGTTCCCCTTGCTGTTCACTCTTCTTATCACATGCAGAAATAAGCTGGCAACCAAACAGAGGAAAAATGGTTATTTTACAGAATTTCTGCCCATATGGTATAATTCCTGCTCGTATTAACCAACAAGATGGACACTGAGGAGGGAAATAGTGTTGGATCACTTTAAAGACTATTATGGAAATACTGATAGGATAAGGTATATATTTACTAAACTTAATGGTAATTCTGTAAAAACAAGTTACCTTGTTGTATCAAAGATTATTTTTCGTAAGGGAGTTTCACAGCTAAACATTACCATTCATTACTATTACAGGATGGGGAAACCATTCGCAGTGCATTTTTCAATGCAGCTTCTTGGTTAGTAAGTTATCACAGCCATGTTCAACTAAAAATTCCTTCCTCCCAGAATGTTAAAAACATTCTTATTTTCTAATACCATTGTTTCTCTAAGTATGTGGAACTTTTGTATGTTTGTAATTCTTGTTAGTGCTGCTTTAAATAAGTGACTTCCATTTTGTCTTTTTTCCCAATTGTACAGCGCTGCGGAATTTGTTGACGCTTTATAAATGCCAGTAATAAATAAATAAATACCTGTCTCCCCCACCCCCATGACAAACGTCAAAAACATCATTAGAATTTCAACTTAATTCATTACAATCACAAGATATACGTTAAACAAAGCACTACTTTCCCTCACGTAGGATCTCTGGCATGTAGAGGAGTTCACCAGTGATGTGAGCACCTGGAATATGAAGCCTCGGGATATGTTTGGTCTGAGGAAAACCATACCTCCCCATCTTTCTCTAGCTCAATCATCCCAAAACAAATTTATTATTATTATTATTGCAATTTATATAGCGTTAACAGATTCCATAGCACTTTACAATATTATGAGAGGGGGGGAATTTTACTATAAATAGGACAATTATAAGAAAACTTACAGGAACGATATGTTGAAGAGGACCCTGCTAAAACGAGCTTACAGTCTATAGAAGGTGGGGTATAAAAGACATTACAATAGGAAATAGCAATCGGAGTGGAGAGAGTAAAGTGCTGTCCTTCAGGAGAGCGCAAGAGAGAGAGATGTGAGGTAGCGGTTACTCTCGGAGACCATAAGCGATGGGTTTTAAGCCACTTTTTAAACCATTGAAGACTAGGGGAGAATCTGATGGCGATAGGGAGGCTATTCCATAAAAGAGAGCCGCCCGCGAGAAGTCCTGCAAGCATATGTTGGCCATACGGTAGGAGCAGCGGACAGGAGAAAATCACGGGCAGAGCGGAGTGACCGAGAAGGGCCATAGAATTGGTCAATGCGTTATAGGTATGGGTCAGCACTTTGAATTGACACCTATAGGATACAGGAAGCCAATGTAAGGACTGACAGAGGTGGGAGAGGACCAACTAGGGAAGAAAATCAGTCTGGCGGCAGCATTCATATCAGACTGTAGCAGGGCAATACGGCTTTTGGGAAGACCAATTAGGAGAGGGTTACAATAATCCATGAGGGAAATTACTAGCACATGGACAAGCTATATATTTGCTTGTGATTGGACCATTTCAGTGGCTGAGTGCATGTGTGCCCTCTAAACTGGTGAGGAAGCAAATTTATTTATAAACAAACGTAACCAGCATGAGAGAGTCAAAGGGAGCACACAAAAGGAGGTAGGAGTGAGCAAATTGCGATTAAAAAAAATAAAATGATATATATTGTTTCTTTTCTTTTACTAAAATACATTGTGCATTCATCTTTCTGTGTTCCAGGGAGCCTGGACTCCATGTTGTCAGACTATGATGTCATATCAATGTCTGGCATCCAGCAGCACTCGCTGCGAAAGCGGGACTTGGAACCAGAATCACACGTAGAGCGCATGCTGAGCTTCTCTGCTCTGCACAGGTAACTGACTCTCTATTTTAATACTACTTTTTATTGTGGCCTTACAACCTCTGAAAATGTTATGTCAATAATGCACGAAAATAAGTGTAATGTTTAGAATTAAAAAAAAAAAAGTCAATTTTCTGTAATGGGGGTACTTTAACAAGTAAAAAGGAGAGCACTCCTACGGGGGAAATCGAAGATGGGGAGCACTCATAAAGAGGAAAAGTACCAAAAGAAGGGAAGAGTGCATAAAGAGACATCTCTTTTTTTGATAGAACAAAGAGACGTGTACATATGGGAAATAAAACAAAGTTGGGAAATGTGCACAAAGAGGTGATAGAACAAAGAGGAACATTCATAAAGAGGAACTAAAAGGAAGGGACGGGTGCATAAAGGGAAAATAGAGAAAAGAAGAATAGTGTGCGTGTAATGAGGAACTAGAACAAATAAGAGTGTATCATGTGGAGTATTAGAGACAAAGGAAATGGTAGGAGAAGAGACAGTGTAGGATGCATGCAGAGCGAAGAAGAGAAAAATAAAGGATAGAAACTAAAGGACATGGGGGGGTCTAGTTTAAATAGGAGAGGAACAGAAAAAAAGGTCTAAATAAAAGAACAGGAGAAATAATAAGTGGCGTACATACAAAGAAGGTGAGGAGAGAGAGAGATGATGGGATACACCTACAGGATAGCATTCCTAGTAAGGATTCTAGAAGCAATATGACATCAATGACTGAGAGTGGCAAAAAAGGAGAGATCGGACATAAAGTGATGATTCGGAGTACCTACCAGTGAGAGTGGCAGTACTGCTTGTGTTCTCACACTTGTATTTTATGAGTTGATACCCTGTTATTCTCAGAATGTGTACGTGGCATAATCCCTTCAGTTTACTATTAAAATATGGTCTATACAGCTTTATCAAAATCTGTAGACAAAATACATAGAATCTCCTCTTTGTTTGATTTAGTAGGATGTGCATCTTGGGGGGGAGGGGCACAGTAGCTTCTTTTCACCTCACCTGCACTGGAAGCTGATTTTTCTACATTTCGATTTAATTATTATTTTTTCTCCAGGCATTTTAAACTGTATTTGACATCAAGCGCAGACCATTTATCACAAAACCTGAAAGCCATCGTGTTGGACGGGGACAGCAAGGAGACAGAGTACCAAGTCAAGAAATCTGACTTCTTCACAGGGCATGTTGTGGGTTAGTATCCATATCATACCGCTCTACTCTCTCTATGTTGGGCACAGACCCCTCTGTCCCTCTTTACTTTCCTCTGTTCTAGGAGCTCCGTATTGTTTGTGTGTCCGTGTATAACAGGAGCAATAACACTCACAGTAATGTCTTTAAAGTACACTAGACATGTTTAGAAACCTGTCTGTCTGTGCAAATATGATGCATTGTTCTTGTTCTAAATTACATTTAGCTGCAGAACTTTCATTGTCTGAGGGTGTCCACGGATGAACGTCAACCAATGAATGTCCCTCTCTGCAAAGAATATGCAAAGATTTGAGATTAGCCAGCCTGGAACTGAGTCATGACATACAAGTGTCTCTGCCAGAGATGGCGTTACACCTCTGGCAGCAGTATAAAATATGTCCGTATGTGCGGGGTTTTATATTGAAAAGCTCTAAATACAGACTCCAAGTTTCATGAACTTACCTGTGCCTGGTGCTCGAGCTGCTCCCCTCCTCGGGCCATGTGGGCAGAACGCACTGCGTGGCTGCATTACCTCAGGCTGCGTGGCCCGAATGCTCCACGTGGCGACGCGGCCTGAATAGATATTGCTTACCTTTGGTCCTGCGAATGGCTCCCTCTGCTGGTTCGCGGGACAAACTGCAGCCACTATAACTAAAATATTAAGCCATGACCACATCATCTTGGCAACCTAATGACCACAAGGGACCACATCATCTAGGCAACCTAATGACCACAATGGACCATATCATCTAGGCAACCTAATGACCACAAGGAACCACATCATCTAGGCAACCTAAAGGGGTTGCAGAGATAACGTGGACCAATGGGAATTCTTTTGAGTCTATTTAGGGCTTGTTTTAGCCTCCATTCGTTGCCCTATCAAGGTTTCTTGTTAGATCCTCGTTTAGTGCTCCTAGAGATTCCATTGTGATTTCCTGTGTTTGATCTCGGCTTCATATTTGACTTGTAATTTCTGGTATCCTGGCTTCTTTTGACTTTTGATTTCTGGTATCCTGGCTTCGTATTTGACTTTTGATTTCTGGTATCCTGGCTTCGTATTTGACTTGTGATTTCTGGTATCCTGGCTTCGTATTTGACTTGTGATTTCTGGTATCCTGGCTTCATATTTGACTTGTGATTTCTGGTATCCTGACCCGGCTTTGTCTTGCCCTCGTGTATTTCTGTATGCCTGACCTTGATTTTTTTTTTTTTAATGATTCTCGCTAATTTAATACGTTAAGTATGGCTATTCTAAGGTTCGGTAATACGTCTTTCGGATCCACCTTTTGTGGGTTTCCTATTTTCTGCGTGTTGGGGTACAACTCCCTTGACACTCCAAGCACCATTACTACTTCAAATAATTAAAGTAGTCATGATACTTGAGAGTAACCCTTTAAGGAAAGCTGTTCAATGTGAGTACATAGATTTGCAGAATGGCAATGGGATTGAGGTTTTCTGAACTTGCTGTGAAAAGGTGCATGTTATATCTGCAGACCCGTTCAGTTAACTTGGATTATTATGTTGTTATTTATATAGTGCCAACAAATTCTGCAGCGCTTTACAGTGAGTGGACAAACAAACATGTAGTTGTAACCAAACCAGTTGGACACACAGGAACATAGGGGTTGCTTAATGAGCTTACATGCTAGAGGGAGTGGGGTAAAGTGACACAAAAGGTAAGGATATTATTAGACTAATGACAGTTGTAAAAGGGGAATCAGTCAGGAGCTACTAACAGTTTAATTGATACACTTTTATGAAGAAGTGGGTTTTCAACGATTTTTTTGAAGGAGTGGAGACTGGGTGAGCACCTAACGGAGGAGGGAAGCGAGTTCCACAGGAATGGTGCTGCCCTCGAGAAATCTTGAAGGCGAGCATCAGATGTCGGAGTACGGACAGAAGATAGACGTAAGTCTTCAGCAGAGCGTAAAGGCCTAGACGGGACATACTTGTATATTAGGGAGGATAGATAGGTGGGAGCAGCATTATGTAGAGATTTGAAAGAAAGAACCAGATTTTTACAGGAAGCCAATGTAGGGACTGAAGGGTGAGGCGTGGGAGGTGCGGGCGAACAGGCAGATGAGCCTCACCGCTGCATTCATTATGGACCGAAATGGCGCAAGTTGGGAGCATATAAGACCACTGAGAAGCAGATTAAGTAGTCAAGGCGAGAAAGGACAGTGGAATGGACTAGCAACTTAGTCGCATCTGGCGTTAAGTAGGGGCGGATGCGTGTAATGTTTTTGAGATGGAAGCGGCAGGATATGGCGATAGACTGAACATGAGGCGTGAAGGAGAGGTCGGAGTCAAAGAGAACATCTGGGCAGCCATCCAGTTAGAAATAGCAGAGAGGCAGTCAGAGACACTAGTCAAGAGATCAGGAGAGTACAGATAGATTTGCGTGTCATCCGCATAGAAATGATATTGGAAGCCAAAGGGGAGGCAGTATAGATAGTCATATCTTGTAGACCGATCTTGCGGAGGATGAGAAGAAGCTGTTGATGATCAACAGTGTCAAAAGCCGCAGAAAGGTCAAGGAGAATTAGTATAGAGTAGTGACCACGAGATTTTGCAGCGAGTAGATCATTGGATACTTTGGTCAGTGCCGTTTCCACAGAGTGCCCAGCACGGAAACCAGACTGAAGTGGGTCTAGCAGAGAGTTGGACTCGAGGAAGTCTGTCAATCTCTCATACACAAATCTTTCAAGGATCTTGGACGCAAAAGGCAGTAGCGAGATAGGACTGTAGTTGGATGGGGAGTTAGGGTCAAGGTTGGGCTTCTTCAGAATTGGGGTTATAGTTGCATGTTTAAAGGGCGATGGAAATATGCCAGAGGAGAGAGGGAGATTGAGAATTTTAGTGAGAGGTAGAGAAAGAGAACAAGACAGAGTACGGATGAGATGCGAGGGAATTGGATCTAGGGAGCGGGTGGTGGGGCGGGAGGACTTCTTGACTCCATAATGACAATCAGATTTGTCATTGGATCATTATTCTGTCTACATACATATCAATTATATCCTTTAATATTCTCCTTATGCATTAAGGCACCCAAGCCTTTTTTTATATTTATCTATAGAATCTGATTACACAGCCTCTTACTGTTAAGAACCCTTTCCTCTGCTGTAAGTAAAAACGCCTTTCTTTCAGTCTCAATTGGTGACCTCTTGTCTGCTGTATATTTCTAATGAACAGGTTAGCACATAGTGGTTTGTACGGACCTTGTATATATTTGTATAGTGCCATCACATTCCCTCTGAGGATGTCTTTTTTCTAAAGAAGAAAATTTCAGGTTTTTTGTTTTTTTTAAAGCATTTCGTCATAACTAATGTATTCTTTTTTTAAATTTTTTTTAATTTTTTTACGGGTGCCCAAAATTTTACTGCATATTGAAGGTGGGATCTTACCATTGTAATTGTTTCCAAGTCCTTTTCATTTACTGTTATCCCTAACCCTACCAAATTTAATGTATAAGTGGCTTGTGGGTTCCTTATTCCAAAATGCATGACTTTTCTTTTACCTGTATTGAATCTCATCTACCACTTGCCTGCCTTTCCCCCAATGCCTCCAAATCCCTCTGTAGGGAAGCTCTATCCTGTTCATACTGTATTTTCTTACATAGTATTGTCTTGTTGTAGATAATTTACTGCAAACCAATTAGTTTGAATGACTATCTGTTCCTGTCCAAATTAAAGATAATAAAGTTGCGTGCACGCAGAAGTAAATTCACACTGAGACACAGAGTTCAGGTTAATGAAAGAACTTCGGAGAAGTTTAATGGCTTTTGACAGAAAATGGGTGCGCAGACCCTTTTAAAGGCATTATTACATCACTGAAGAATTCAAGATAACAGCAAATAGACACTATTGATTGGTCCAGGTGTTAAGTGGTTAGTTAGATACCCTCCTATCAAGAGGTGATGTCATCCTTGACACGGGAGTGGACACAAGATGTAGGCCATCTTGTTAGCACGAGGTGTTCACTCGATGGGAGGGGTGCTTTGGCAGCCATTTTGAGTAGTTAGTATTGTTAGCTTCAAGGTTCTTTTAGTAAATACACATTTTATTATTCAGCACATTTCCTCCTGACAAAGCATTAGCTTAGATAATTTCAAGAATTCTATAATTCTACAACAGTCTCATCTGCAAACACACGTGACTTTTTTTTTTTTTAAATAAATTTTTCTTTATTTTCAAGAGTATAAAGTCATGGGGTACAGAAGAAAGAAGGAGGAACATTTAAATGTACCATAGTGGGGTATGGAAATACATTAGCACATAGCTATACACCAATATTACTTCTGCTCGTCATATTCGGTTGCTGGGGCAACTGTCAATGCGGGATTCCGGAGCACCGGATTTGGTTCTACGGTGCCAGGTATTTGCAGCTCAGCTCGTTTCAGCTACAATGGTGTATTTACTATGGCGTGGACTTCCTATAGGGTAGTGAACCTGGGTGGGTGGAGGGTTAGGGGGGACGGGTAGGGAGGGGGGTGGAGGGGGTGTTGTCCTGCCTAGTGAAGCTAAATTCGATCCTTGTGGGTACTCCTATGGTCTTATTGTGACAGTCCTAGTCTATGCAGGGGTGTTCGCCCTTTGGTTAGGGGGTTATGGGTGGGGGCGTCCCTAGGGGGCTCCTCCAAAAATCTATCCAGGGTTCCCATATTTTAAGGTATCTGTGCCGTCTTCCTAGCACAGACCAGTGTATCTCTTCCATTTCTCTCGTGCATTCAATTCGTCGTACCCACTGCTCCCTAGACGGTACGCTGGGTCGGCGCCAATGCGTTGGCACTAGAGCGTTGGCTTCCCCAAGCAGAATCTGTAGGAGTTGTTGTTTGTGCGGCTCCTTAAAGGAGCGAGGCCAGCCCAGTAGGACCTGTGATGGGGACAGACGGACTCGCAATGCGAGAATTTCCGCTATGTCCTTCAGTATGTGTTGCCAGAATGGTTTTATGCTCGGGCAGCTCCACCAGATGTGTTCCATGTCTCCTTGACCCCCAGAACATCGCCAGCATGTATCGCTAATGGTGGGCCAGAATGTGTGGAGTGTAGCTGGTGTTCTGTACCATCTAGTGATTCTTTTGTAGAAGGTCTCTTTACGGGCTACACTGATAGGGGTTTTGATCCCTGTTTCCATAATGTCTGTCCAGTCTCTGTCCGTCATATGTATGTGTAAGTCTCTCATCCATTTCTGTTGGAATGCGAGTAGTGTGTGCTCGGTTTTAGCTGTCTGAATGATGTTGTATATTTTGGATAAGGTTCGTTTTGAGGTACTCTGTGGGTCACATAGGTTTTCAAAGGGAGTAGTGTCTCTTGGACGCCAGAATGGGATTACTGACTTATTTAAAAAATTCTTAAGTTGTGTTCTGTCCATGATATCAAGGAGTGTGTCCTGCCTGTTCTGTCTAGAGAGGGTTTTTAATGTGGGCGGGTCCTCGGCTGTCAGAACCTCAGTGATGGCTGGGTTTGGCGAACCTGTCAGCCTTACCAGGGTAGAGCTCCCCTTTCCTCTCTGGAAATCTGGGTTACCTGCTAAAGGGAAAAACTTAGATAGTCCCGGGGATAGACCCCATGTGTCTTTGTGCCGTCTCCAGATTGTGAGGATGTTGTGAGTGAGTGGGTGGTGCGTTGGGGAGAGTTCTTTGATTTGACAAGTTTGCCATGGTAATGTATGGAGTGGAGCCTGCATAAAGCTCTGTTCCAATTCATACCATGATTTTTTCTTACTTGTGCTTGTCCACTCCTGTATGCGGGTAAATAGCACTGCCACATAGTATTTGTATATGTGGGGGAGACCCAGGCCCCCTCTGCCCGTGTGGGATGTCAGTGTGCTATAGGCTATTCTGGCTGGTTTGTTGCCCCAGGTATAGGTTGTAAATATGGTTCGCATTTGTTTGAAAAAGTCCTTGGGTAGGGGGAGTGGTAGCGTTTGGAACAGGTAAAGTACTCTCGGTAGGATCATCATTTTCAGAATGTTGATCCGACCCATTAGGGAGAAGTAGGGAAGGTCCCACTTGTGAAGGTCTTGTTTAATGCTGCTTAGCAGGGGGGGATAGTTGAGTTTGTATAGGCCTGTGGGCGAAGTGGTTAGCTTGATTCCCAGGTAGGTTAGTCCAGTTCGAGTCCAAGGGAAGGTGTGCGTGCGTCGTATCCGTGTTTGTAGGGAGGGGGGTACAGAAATCCCCATGATTTCACATTTGTCCGCATTTATCTTAAAATTAGATAAGGACCCAAAGGTTTTAATCTCCGTTTGGATCTGTGGGAGGGTATTAATTGGGTCCGTGATCGTGAAGAGGACGTCGTCCGCAAACGCGGATACCTTCGTCTCTCCCCTAGGGTACTGGAGCCCCCGTATGTTATTGTTGTTCCTGATAGCCGTAAGGAAAGGTTCCATGGCTAGGACAAATAGGAGAGGGGAAAGGGGGCATCCTTGGCGTGTGCCATTATTTATCTGAAAGGGTGTGGATAAGTGTCCGTTTACCTTAACGGTTGCGGACGGTCCCCTGTATAGGGTTTGTATCCAATTCCTTAGTCTAGGGCCGGCCCCTATAACCTCCAGGACTGTGAAGAGATAGGACCAATCCACCCTGTCGAATGCCTTTTCCGCGTCTATTGCCATGAGCAGTGTCGGTGTGTTCGTAACAGTTGCCCCATGTATGACGTTTAGGATTTTTGTGGTATTGTCCCTAGCTTCGCGGCCAGGCACAAAGCCGGCCTGATCAGGGTGGATTAGTCCCGGCAATAAGGGTTTGAGTCGATTGGCGATCATTTTCGCCATTAGTTTTAGGTCTAGGTTTATCAAGGAAATGGGTCTGTAGCTCCCGCACTGTGTGGGGTCTTTGCCCGGCTTGGGAATGATGGTGATCGATGCGCGGAGCATCGGGGGAGGTAGTGGGTTGCCCTGGGCCAGTCCGTTTAGCGATTTAAGAAAGTGGGGGATTAGCTCCTGTGCAAGTGTTTGGTAGTATCTCGCCGTCAATCCGTCCGGGCCTGGGCTCTTACCTTTTGGTAGAGTCTTAATGGCTAGTGATAGTTCTGCTGGAGAAAATGGCTCATCAAGTGTGAGTGCTGTGTCGTTGGGAATAGTGTGTGAGAGGTTTGAGGTGATATATTCTCTCAGGTTGTTAGGTCGTTGACTTGGTGTATCTAAATTGTAAAGGTCTTCATAGAAGGTACTAAATGCTGTAGCTATGTCGTCTGTGGTATGGCACTGTTTCCCTTTTTTGTCAGTTATTTTGTCAATAAAGGACCTCTGATGCTTAGCTTTTAGGGCTCGGGCCAATAGTTTCCCGCTTTTATTACCCTGGGTATAAAAGGAGCCCCTGGTCAGCTGGACCGATCTGTGTGCTTTAAGGGCTAGTAGTGATCGCATTTCTATTCGGAGGGCCGTGAGTTTCTGGAAATTCTCGGCAGTAGGGTCCTGTTTATGCAGGGTTTCTGCGAGGTGTATCTCCGTAGTAAGGGAATTAATGTTTTGTGTGCGTTCTTTCTTAAGTCTAGATCCCCATTTAATTAGGGTGCCCCTCGCAGCTCCCTTGTGCGCTTCCCAGACCCATTGGTGTGATACCTCTCCTGTGTCATTGTCTGTGAAGTAGTTGCCTATTGTCTGTCGCAGGTCATCCATTACTCTCGGGTCATCTAACAGGGTCTCGTTCAATTGCCAGTGCGTGGTGCATTTGGGATCTCTCTGGAGGGTGACCGATATGAATACTGGGGCATGATCCGACCATGTGATGTTGCCTATAGATGCTTCGCTTAGTAGCGGGAGGTGTCTGTGGCTGAGGAGAAACATGTCTATTCTGGAGTAGGTATTTGCTACCTGGGAGTAATAGGAGTAGTCCCTCTCTTGAGGGTGTAGTATACGCCAGCAATCTATTAGTTGATGGGCGTGGAGCACATTGGATAACATAGTCCGCTGACGGTGTCGAGAATCTTTAGTCTTAGATGAACTATCTATGGAGTGGTCTAGTACCATGTTCCAGTCTCCCGCTACAATTACGGCTCCCTCAGCAAAACTGTCTAATTTAGCAAGACAAGAGCGTATATAGGGGACTTGGTCCGAGTTTGGAGCGTAAATACTCGCCAGTGTTGTGAGGACTCCATTGTATATCCCCTTCACAAACACAAACCTACCTCTTGGGTCAGTTTTGATTCCGATCTCGGTAAAGGCTGCGGTGGATGAGATCAGGATCGCTACACCCCTAGATTTCTGTTTAATATTATTGCTATAGTAGGATATTTGAATGCGTTTTGATCTAAGTTTTGGTTTGAATTCACCTCTATAGTGGGTTTCTTGCAGAAAGACAATATCAGCACCTTTCCTGTCTATTTCCTGTGCTAGCATCGTTCTCTTCATGGGGGAGTTTAGTCCCCGTACATTCAATGACATGAGCTTAGTTTGGGCCATGATGTCAGGATGTGCGATCTCTTGTGTTAGCTTGGGACCCTAGGAGTACGCCAGCGACTGTAGCGTATTTTGTGAGTATGTAGGCAGGGGTGATGTGGGCAGGGTAAACCGGGGGGGAGTTTAAACTTTGTACAAAATGATATGAGAGTATCATATCAGGAGTGAGATTGGCGGTACACTTGTGGGTAACTTACTCGTTTCCACAAGTTGTGTCGGGGCGCCTCTCTGGGGGTGGTGACCAAGGTGGCCTGACCGAGGGCCGGCGGGGATACCTTTAGGGTAATTGATCATTTGATGCTATGCTCCCGCTCCTCTAACTAGAGAGGGAATGGGGGATGTGGTGTAGGTCTATGTTCACCCTGTGGGTCAGGTCCCTGTAGGCCCTTTTAACTCATTTATGACCATGTTTCTTGTGTCTAAGGCCAGAGGGGTCTGGTGTCGGCAAATTCTACATTCTATAAACGTAACATAACAAAACAATGGCAATAGGAGAGTATAACATCGCGATCTTGTACACATTTTAGTGCAATATCAAGGCACAGAATGTTAAAGTTAATGCAAAGGATATGCTTGCGTGGTCTTGCCGATGCTCAGGTTGCTTTGTCTCTAGGCGAGGCATGGACATCAGTTCCTTTTTGGGTCGGCCTATGTCTCTTCCTCGGGGTTCTCTGCCATTTTGGACGATGCTGCGACTGCTTTGGTGAGATACCTGACAAGCCGGTCCAGTCCTCCACCTCGGAGGGTGGTAAGTTCAAACCCCTCTGGAAGTCAGGGATGTCCGCTGGCGTAGTTATGGTATGAGTCTTGTCCTTATAGATCACTGTGAGAGCGAACGGGAAGCTCCACCGAAACTTGATTTGTCTTTCCATTAGAGCTTGTGTGATGGGTCGTAAGGCCCTCCTTGCCTGTAGGGTGGATGGTGATAGGTCTTGGAACACGGTAACTTGGTGGCCGTCGACCGCTAGGTCTTTTGTTTGGCGGGCTTTGCGGAAGATCTCCTCTTTCAGAGGGAAGTTATGTATTCTGCAGATAATGTCACGTGGCCTGTCTGGGGGTAGGTTTCTGGGCCTCGCTGCCCTGTGTGCTCTGTCGAACTGGATGGCTGTTTCTGGGGGTCTGGTGAGGATGTGGTTAAAAAAGGTTGTCAGGATCTGTATGGGGTTCTCTGTGGTGCCGTCTGGCGCCTCAGGTATGCCTCTTACCCTGAGGTTGTTTCGCCTACCCCGGTTGTCAACATCTTCTAGCCTTCTTTGTAGGTGTCTGATGGCTTCAGAGTGTGTTTCTTGTGTAATGTGGCATTCAGCCCACTGTCTGTCAGCATTGTCATTCTCTTCTTCCAATGCCTGTACTCTGTTGCCCAATTGCTGCACATCTGCGCTCACTGCCTGTAGTTTTTCACTAAAGCTGTCCTCTAGCCTTTGAAACATGGCTGCAAGGTCATTTTTGGAGGGCAGTTGGGTTAAAATTGCCCTGATATCAGATTCCTCCGCCGAGCATTCTGATGCTGATGGGCTAGATGGTTGGCTGCCTCGTGTGTTTCCCGCGGGCGCCATTTTGCCGCGTCTTCGCGGGTCCTGTGGTTCTGTAAAGAATCTTCGTAGAGATGTTCTGGCATCTGGGGAGGTTGTCGCTGGAGTGCTCCCCGCGTTACTGCGGTTTTTCTTGGTTGCCATGTGTGCGGTCGGGTGCCGGGTATCCCCTATTGCTCTCGGTCAGGGACGGAGCTCGGGATTCATGCGTCCATGTTCCTCGGAGTCTTGGCCACGCCCCCACACGTGACTTTCAGTGTCCCCTTGAAGATCTTTATAATCCTATTGTATAATTGCTTTTTTCTCAATATTTCAAAGGTCTGTCGAATGTCCAATTTCAGAATAACCACTTTCTTTTTATTTCTATTTCTTTCTTTTATTTTTTTTGGAGTGTTGCTTTTAATAGCAATTTTTTTTTTTTCAATATATTTTTTATTGAAATTTCGTCTTCAATGATGCAGTTCGAACCAGTAATACAGTTGTGAGTAGTACATCAAGGTAGTACAAAAACAAGTACAACATTAACGTTGGGGTACGGTTAGGAGTATGTACAGTTAGGTAACATAGAGCGGTCTGTATAGTCGGTTAAACAATCATTGCTCATATCGCCAGCCTAACATCTGGTCAGCCCGTGTTCACCTGGTGGTGGGTACTGGTATGCTTCCCTATGCTCTATCGTTGGTTATACATATGATTACCGGTGGTGGTTATAGGGTGATAGAGGATGTTTCTGACCTTGCAGCTCCACCTTACCTATGCCGGTTATATAGTTCTATCCATGGTGACCATGTTGTGCTAAACCTCTGTGCCGTTTTGGCGTCAGGAGCGGCCATTTTTTCGTAGATGTAGAATTGGTGTATTTTGTCCCGCAGTTGGGTTTTGTTTGGGCAAGTTGTGGATTTCCAATGTAGGGCCAGTAGGCTGCGGGCTGCTAGGGTGATAATGGCACACAGCTGTTTGTGCGAGTTTCGGAGTGTCGGGGGGAATCTCAGGAGTAAATATATGTCGGGTGTCTTTTGGATATCTGGGATGTGGAGTGCTCTGATCGTATTGTGTACTTCTGTCCATAGGGGCTGGATGTTGGGGCACTCCCACCAGACATGTATAAGTGTGCCCTCCTCTGCGGAGCATCTCCAACATAGAGGAGTCGTGTTTGGGTATATTTTGTGGAGTTTGTGTGGGGTTAGGTACCATCTGTACATGAGTTTTCTGTGTGCTTCTATGTGTGTGTAGCATTTTGTCCATTTAGATAGGTCATTCAGTACATGCAGCCAGTCTTCGTCTGTGAGTTGGATGGCACAGTCTAGTTCCCATTGAGTTTTGCAGCGTGGTGGTATTTTAGGTATGGTGTCTTCCCACGCTTTATAGCATAGGGAAATGGTTTTTGGTTTTGTGGGGTGTTTCCAGCACCTTTCTATGATTGCCTTTGTTGGTAGGGATATGTGAGCATGGGTTGAATTTTGGTTGCTTACATGTGTTGTAATGATTCCCTTAAGTTGTAGGTATGTAAAGAACGCGTCATTGGGAAGTTCCCATTTGTGTTGTATGTCGGGGAATGTCATCATTTTTTGGGATTGAAGTAATTGGTGTATGTGTGTTATTCCAGCCAACGACCACTTGTGTAAGCGTATGTCTGGCGTGATGGCCCTTAGGGCCATCAGTGGTGCCTCTGCCTGGAATTTATTTTTGTCCCCTACTTTTTCTAGAAATGTTGTCCATATTTGGATAGTATATTTTGTTGTGGGTAATAGATCAGATCTTAACGACCTCAATTTTCTTGGTGTCCACAAGTGTGCTAGTGCCAAGTTGTTGCTAAACTGGGCTTTTTCCATGTCCACCCATTGTATGATCCCCTCAGTAGTATGGAGCAGTATCCCTGTTGCTAAGGCGGATGCTTTATAGTACAGATCTATGTTGGGTAATCCCACACCACCATGTTTTGAGTGTTGGTATAGTATCGCACTTGCGACGCGTTGCTTTTTGTGTTCCCATATGAACGCGTTACATATGGATTGTAGTGTTCTTATAAGTGTTTTTGGTGCTTGTAGAGGGAGCATTCTGAATATATACAGTATTTTTGGGAGTATCACCATTTTATACGCATTTATTCTGCCTAGCCAGGAGATGTGTGTTTGCGACCATTTGCGTGTTTCATTCTTGCATTGTTGTGGGAGTGTGAGGTAATTTACTTTTAATACTCCTGCTATGGTGGGTGCAATTTTTATGCCAAGGTAAGTGAGTGAGGTTGTCCTCCAATCGAAGAGGTATTTGTCTTTGAGCACAGCTGTGGTGGAGGAGGTGAGTTTGATGGGTAGTGCTTGCGTTTTGTCTTGGTTTAGACGGTAGTGTGATATGTCCCCGAACCTTTCCAAGGTCTCCAACAGGTGGGGCACTGATGTTTGAGGGTTTTCTAGTGTGATTAAGATATCGTCTGCAAATAGCGCTAGTTTGTATTCCTTGCCTAGGATTTTGACGCCTTGTATGCGTTCGTCATTTCTTATTTTTTGTGCTAGCGGTTCGAGGGATAGTATATATAGTAGGGGGGATAGGGGGCATCCCTGTCGTGTCCCATTGGATATATGGAAGGTGGCTGAGAGGAAGCCACCATGGGCCACCTTGGCCGCCGGTTTCACATATAGCGCCATGATCCCTTTGATAAATTCGTCTGGGAATCCGAATTTTTGTAATACTTTCTGCATATAGGCCCAATTGAGTCGGTCGAAGGCCTTCTCCGCATCAAGTGCCAGCAGGAGGCCTCCGGCCGACCCCCTCTCCATGGTAGCTAGTATGTTAAGGATTTTTCGCGTGTTATCGGAGCCTTGTCTCCCCTTGACGAACCCTGATTGATCGTTGTGTATTAGTTCGCTTATTATGACCGTGAGCCTGTTACTTAGTATTTTCGCGTATAATTTGGCATCCCCATTTAGAAGGGAGATGGGTCTGAAGTTTTTGCAGGTGGTGGGTGGTTTGCCTGGTTTGGGTAATGTCGAGATGTGAGCTAACAGTAGTTCCTCTGGCAAGACTCCCGTGTCTAAACTGTGTTGGTATAGGTTTAGGAGGTGGGGGAGTAGTAGTTTGGAGAATTCTTTATAATATCTATTTGGTAGGCCATCTGGTCCTGGGGATTTGTGTGATGGTAAGTCAGCTATGGCTTTAGATATTTCTTCATGGGATATTGGCTGTTTGAGTTGTTTTACTTTATCTGATGACAGGGATGGGAGGTGAACAGTTGCTAAAAAATTGTCAATATCTGCAAGCGTAGGGACTTTCGTTCCCCCGTCTTCACTCAGGTTATACAGTTTGTGATAATATGTGGAGAATTCGTTTACAATTTTGTTCGGATCACTAACTTTCTGACCAGTATTTGTGTTTAGGAAGGCAATCCTGGAGGCGACTGATCTTTGTTTGAGCTGTGAGGCTAGTTTTGCTCCTGCTCTGTTGCCATAGGCAAAGTACCTGTGTTTGTATTTTTGTAGCAGGTATGTGGTTTTGGCCAGTTCAAAGTTTTGTAATTTAGTGTGAGCTTGCAGGAGAGCTGTTTTGGTCATGGCTGATGGTGAGCATTTGTTTCTATGTGTTAGTGCCGTTATTTCTTGGATGATTTCTAGGTATTGAGCTTGGCGTACTTTTTTGGCTTGACTTGCGTGTTTTATAAAACTACCCCTGATCACCGCTTTGTGTGCTAACCATACAGAATTTGGCGATGTGTCGGGGCGAACATTTTCTGTGAAGTAGTTTTGGAGGTCTGTTCTGATTTGGGATACTATGCTTGGATCTTGGAGTAGGGATTCGTTTAGTCTCCAGGCAGTGTGGCCAGGGGAGGGGTATTGCTCAGATATGGTCAGAGTGATGGGGGCATGGTCTGACCATGATATGATACCAATTTCTGCACTTATCATTCTCTCTAGTGATGTGTTCTTTATTAAAAATCTGTCAATTCTGGAATAACTATTGTGTGCAGCGGTATAGCATGTGTAATCGATTTCAGCTGGGTGGGAAATTCTCCATGGATCTACAAAGTTATGTGTCGTTAGTATTCTGCGGATGTTGGAGGTTTGTGTGTGTCTCTGTTTTGAAGTGGATATGGTTACCGTTCTCGCGGCTGAGGAGTCCATATTGATGTCTAGGAGAAAGTTAGTGTCGCCTCCAATGATTACCTCCCCAAAGCTGTACATTGACAGGAGAGAGAACATGTTAGCTACAAATACTTGTTGGTTTTCATTAGGGCAATAGACATTTATCAATGTATACGGTTGATTGTTCATACAACATTGTAATATAAGGTATCTACCTTTTTTGTCACTTATTTTTCGTACAAGTTCAAAAACAACATTCTTATTGATTATTATCGATACCCCTCTTTTTTTTTTGTGGTAGCACGTGTGGTAGTCTACTGGAAACCACGCGGAGTTGAACCTGGGTTTGGATCTCCACTGAAAGTGGGTTTCCTGAAAAAATGCCACCTGTGCTCCTTGTTTCTTGGCCTCCTGGAGGGCCAATCTACGTTTGTTAGGCGAATTTAAGCCTTTGGCGTTTAGCGAGAGAAATTTTAGTGGCATGGTACAGTTTTCCTTCACGTGTTATGGTTTGATCACCGACTAGTTCAGTTGGTGTGGTGGGACAAGCACAGGTTTGTTGGGATGTTACCTAAACTGTGGGATGGTGACCTGACGGTCAATCGAGGGGGATTGGGGGGGAAGTGAACTATGTACAATTGCCCGTCAGCCTCTCCGGCTTAGTGCAAAGGTATGCAGACGGGTACGTGGGGGCCTACCTAGTAAGCCTTACGTGGGGGTCGGTGGTTTTTAAGTAGGTAAGTTGTGATAACCAGTGTCCACCTCGTATAGAAGGCGGAGATTAGGGAAGAAGAGGTAAAGAAAAAGTGAGAAAGAAAAGTTACAATAATAAAAACAGGAACATATAAAAAGGAAGCAGGTATAAAGCTAAAATAGCAGTTATACAGTTAACAGTGGTCTAACGCCCACCGTGGGCTCCTTTTTTTTATTTATTTATTTATTTATTTTTCGTCATTATTGCGTCAGAGGTGTGCCATATATATCAGCACCTTCTTACATGCAGTCAACCTGTTAAACATGAAACCAAATTAAGTAGTAAAGTTACGTGTCCATGTGCGCAGATGGAGAGGGTTTAGGGATGAGGATTTCTTCGGCTTTGAGGGGTTGTCGTGATCCATGGAACGTGTTGCCAGTCTCTCGTCACTTTACGGGGTGGTGGCATGTCCGAATTTCTTGGGTCAGTTGTTGGGACAGGAATGTTCCATTCATCCAGAATTTTCCTTCCTTCTTCTGGCGTCAGAATTGCTCGATCTATTCCATTTCTCTTGATGATTAGTTTTGTAGGGAATCCCCATTTATACAATATGTTTGCGTTTCGGAGAGCCGTTGTTATAGGTGCAAATGTTCTTCTTTTAAACATGGTGGCCGCTGATAGGTCTATGAACAACTTAAGGTCTGTGTATCCGTCCGGAAGGGGTATATTCAGCCTGGCGGCCTGCATTATTTGATCTTTGGCCGAGAAGTAGTGGATTCTAGTGATAACATCTCGGGGAATGGTAGCTGCCAGATATCGTGGTTTGGGCAATCTGTGCGTTCTGTCAAGTCTTAGGTCGGCTTCAGTTAGCGTTGGGACCATAGATTTAAACAGCTTCTGTACATATTGTGGGAGGTCTTGTGGTCCCACATTTTCGGATATTCCACGGATCCTAATGTTGTTCCTTCTATCTCGGTCCTCATTATCTGCAATCTTCCCCTCTAAGTATTTGACCTTATTTTCCAGCGCTACATGCGCCTCTGCTAGGTCATTGTGTGCTTCCAACAGGCCCTCTGTTTTTTCTTCCAAGTGTGCTGTCCTGTCCCCCAGTGCCTGGATGTCAGTTCTTATATCAGATGCCATTTTTTGTATATCAGAGCATAGGGCTGCTTTAAGCCTTTCTAGCATTGTGCTTATTGATGCATCTGTGGCAGGAGTCATGTCTGTGCTTTGAAAGCTGTTTTGGCTGTCTCCTACCTCAGGTTCTAGTGTGGGGGATCCTGTGTCTCTGACGCCATCTTGGATCTGCAGAGGGGTTGCTTGTTGCACATTCAGGTGCGATTCGATCGTTTTTTGTTTCATTTTTTTCGATATTTTTGTTGTCATCTTGTTCTGTGTGATGTTAGTGCCTGGTAGGGCCGTTTTTGGTGGCTGGTTTGCTGGGAAATCACGCTGTTAAGCCCACGGTGTGGCGGAGCTCACCGCTTATGCGACCTCTTCCATGCGGTCCGAAGCCACGCCCCTTAATAGCAATTTTTTGTGTGTGTGTGTGTGTGTGTTTTCTTTTCTTTGAGAAGAAGGAATTGCAAACCGTAATAATGGGAAGACGTGTATATGGGAGCAGTGGATGCAGGCAGTACAATTGTTGAATAATACTCACTCTGTGCTTCTTTTTAAAGGAGAGCACGATTCAAAGGTTTTCGCTCACATTGGAGACGGGGATTTTACAGCACGGATAACAACAGATGGAGAAGAATATAACATAGAGGTATGCTCAATTTGCATATTTGCAAGGAAATAGAAATCATGGAAAAACAGTGTTAAACTTAAAGGAACGCTATAGTCACTTTGTTTCTGTTTATGCAGCCCTAGCCACACCTCCCCTGGTTATGATTGACAGAGCCTGCATTAAAAAAAAACAACTGGTTTCACCTTCAAACAGATGTAATTTACCTTAAATAATTGTATCTCAATCTCTAAATTGAACTTTAATCCCATACAGGAGGCTCTTGCAGGGTCTAGCAAGCTTTTAACATAGCAGGAGATAAGAAAATCTTAATTAAACAGAACTTGGAATAAAGAAAGCCTAAATAGGGCTCTCTTTACAGGAAGTGTTTATGGAAGGCTGTGCAAGTCACATGCAGGGAGGTATGACTAGGGTTCATAAACAAAGGGATTTAACTCCTAAATGGCAGAGGATTGAGCAGTGAGGCTGCAGGGGCATGTTCTATACACCAAAACTGCTTCATTAAGCTAAAGTTGTTCAGGTGACTATAGTGTCCTTTTAAAAAAAAAAAAAAAAAAAGATTTTCTGCTGATGCATTAGAACTATTTTCACACAAATTCTTTCATCCAGTGCAAAACAATCCCTCTCCCCCCGAACAAAATGATTTTTCTAAATACAGAGTTCTCTGTGATTTGGTTTTATTTATTCCCCCACCTATCCCCCCCATCCATCTAAATTGTATGTATTTGTGTACACATTGATGCTTTGTTTGTGTGTTCATACAGGAAACACAATATCACAGTGTAATTGTGAATGTTACCCATTCTGCAGGTCATTGAAAAATGCAGAATTAGATGAAACATTACATTTGTTTGCATTAGCCATTGTGTGTGTCTCTGATGGCTATTGACAGATCAATAGTGTACGGAACACTTAGAAATGGGGCTAGGAGCCAGAAGAATTGAATGATGGATGGTATGACAATGGGATTGAGAAATCTGCTTGTCTTGCAGTGTACCAGCTACAGTGTGGAGATCCATCATTTAGTTAGTTTTGTGTTTCCGCTTGCTCACTGTGTTCTCATTTACAAGCTGCAGTATTAGTCACTTGGTGAACTGTGTGAGCCAGTAAGGGGCGTTGAGGAATGGAAATTAAGCCCTGGTAAGGAATGTATCCCTACTCATAGCTACATAACCTAAGCAACCACGTATAAGAACTTTATCAAATCTGTATCAAAGGAAGAGGGGCTAATAGGTGAGGGCCTCTAAAAAAAACAATGGTTGGCAGGTGTGTGGCAGCCATTCGGTTTGTTAATGAACTGCCTCACGAGAGAGGCTATCCTGTAATAGCAAGTGTTTGCTACAATTACATAGTGTACTTTTATTAATGTCCTCTCCGGCTGCCTCACAGTGATAGGCATTGTAATTGCTGGGCACTGCTGTCCCTTGCCTTGTGGGACCTCGATATTGGTATTTCTATGGCGTCACCCTGCTGGCATCTGGAAGCAAGATACAGGGGCCGTTGCCAAGAGCATAAGTGAAGTTATCGTGTCCTGTACAGCAGCTGTCACAAAGGAGTTACACAGCAAAAAGCCTGCATGCCTCTCAGACAGGAGCACAGATTAACAAAAGGGAGAGACCACCAATAATTTGATGGGCAGGGTACTTGAAAGTGGTGGAAGTTGATCTATACTTTACGCTTGCTAAATTGCTTGCAGATGTATTGCTAAAAACATTTCCTTTTAAATTTGAATTCCATTGTACTTGATGCTATTACATAAAAATTTAAACACTGGTTTAAATAATAAACCATGGTTTTCCCTAATATTCTAAACAGAAACACCAAAACATTTAATCTATACGAATTGGGGATAGATGGGATAACAAGTGAAATCTGTAAAACAAGAACTAGTGCAGTATGTTTGATAAAAGCCTCCGTGCTGCTGTCCAGCTTCTATGGCTGAGATCAAGACTAATGATGTCAGCTAGCCCAATGCTTTCCTATGACGCTAGTGCGCATGCATGGTAAAATGCTGCGTTGCGCCAATCAGATCCACTTTATGAGACCATCAGTCAGAAATAGTATAGTTTTACTTGGCTATATCTGAGGGAAGCACCTCTAGTGGCTGTGTCTGTCCGAGTGACAACTATTAGAGGCAGAACAGTCGTGTTTTACATTGCAGAGTTAAACAGGAATATGGCATCCAGACCACGTCATTGAGATGGTGGTGGTCTAGGTGCCTGTAGTGTCCCTTTAACTATCTTTGCTTCATCTCAGAGAATTGCTGTCAAGGTAAATAATTTGTCAGGTGTACTGTTTGGGTGCTTGCTATATGTACGTGCATATAGCTTCATGTTAGTGTTCTGCTTTCAGCCGCTGTGGAGGTTTGTCGAGAACACCTCAAGGGACAGCATGTTAGTCTATCGATCAGACGATATCCAAGACTATTCCCGTCTCAAGTCCTCGAAAGTCTGTGGGTACGTCAAACCCAAGGAAGATCTCTTCATGAACGAGCAAGACACCGATCAGGACGTAGAAGGTTTGTAGATTTTCTGGTCTGTATATTTTTACCCTATATATTTGGCAGTGTAGATTTATCATCCTTTCACATTTAGATCTTTACAGTGTAATGATTTATTCAAAGCATTGACAAAATTAATCAATTCCAGCACTGCCACTTGTCTATCATTGGTTAAGCTATACCTATGTGAAATTTCCAAATTATCATAAAATGCATGTTCTCTCTCTCCTCCGCTCATTAATTTGCTGACATCTTACTCGCCCGGTAAACAAGTACTGCGATTGTGTGGGTTGAGTCTTTTCAGACTTGCCTTGTAAGCAGCAAGGAAGCAGGTTCTTGGCCTAGAGAGTAGCCTATTACCTAAATGTTCCGTTTGTTGGCAAGTTTGAGCCATTACTAACTAGACTGGTGACATAAGCTTACAGAAGCAATTTAGGAAGAAGGTGGGATGACACCTCTGTTCCATTTTGATTATTTTACAGATTATTTTTGCAAATAAGGGAAAGCTTTTAATAGAGGTTACAGAACTGAAGTGGCTATTAAATATATAAGTTTGGGATATTTGTCTAAGTTATAAGTAGGAATACATGTCTGCTCCTTAAAATTAATCTGGCACTCACAAATTAACATTCAGATAGGTATGGAATCGGTCTATACATTATGCTGATTAAATTGCCTGCAGATGTGCAGATTAAAACATACTTACAGCACCCCTCATAGGCAGCATGGTGTCCTTCAATAAACAGAGTGCTTGCATGTGCAGCTGCTCCCGCACTCAGTGTGGAATCTTAAGATGGCACTAGGGGTCGTAAGATGCTGCCAAAGCATTTGGGTGTAGGCGTCTGTATATCTCCACAATTGCAGCCTTTAACCAAAAAAGTTAAGAATAATGTGTAGTCATTTTGTATCTATGCATTTGCTAGCTCAGTGTATAGGTGGCGAATAAGAATATTGAGTCAGTGGGTTAAAGGAGAGATGTACTAAGTAAGGGCAGGTGGAATGGAGGGGAATTAAACTAAGTAGGGGGGGATTAACGGAGATGGAATGGGGAGGGTAGATACTGAGTGGTTCAGATAAAATGTTACCATGAAGATAATCGGGTAGATTAGAATAGATGAGTTGATTTTTATTTTATGAATTTTAAAATATTCTTTAACGGGACCCTTAAGGGAATTTAACCGATATTTTTTTTTTTTTTATTATTTATTTTTCGTGCATAGATTATTCATGTAACAGTTTTCTAGCGATGCCACAACAGCTATCGCCAGGGTTTGAGTAGACATGTAAATACAATTGTATGGCAGGAATAACTTTGCACATTTTTATATATATATGAGAAGAGTGGTTAGTGGTATAGCACTGTTCCAGCGTGAGTGTGAGAGATTATGTTCAGATAGAGACCTTCAGGTTAGGGAGCAGGGGCTAGTGTGCGTGTTAACCATCAGGTTAGATTTTTGTTAGGTATATACATGCGTTTAAGTGTTATCAGCCCTGGCCGCAGGACAGAGCAGTGCCTGTCCAAACTTTGGGCTGGTTTTGCTTTGAAAATCACACTGCCCAGTCGCCTCATTCTAGGTGTACGTGTCCCGTGTTTCATCTACACTTGGTTAAATCTATGCTTCAGTCGACACCTAGCGCGACCCAACCGAATTTAGCGGCAGCAATTTGGAGAGTAGCCAGCCAGCCCGCGCATCCCACCCCCAGCAATCCCATGAATACTAGATTGTTTGCTCATGGATAGTTATGGGACAGGAGTGTTGCGGGCAAGCTGGCCCCCCCAAATCACGTATGCCACCCAGTCCAGGCTGCGAACTATGTGCTCCAGACTTATTTTGCGTAAGACTTATAACTTATTTTTAGTTTCAGAGTGCTAGATCTATCTGTTGTGTTATCAAGTGGTCTGTGGTGTCAGTCGGTTAGTCGTGAGAGTATCTTGTCAGGGGGCCTTATCCGTGGTCCGTTTGAGTTACTCTTGAGGGGTACTAGCCCTAACCTAGGGGCTGTCGGGGGGGGGATTTCTGTTCTGTATGGTAGTGCATATTCCTTTAGTGCACTGGTATTCCAGCGCCGTCCCTGACAGGCTCACAGCGCGTCATATGGGTGTTAGAGCGTCAGATTAACTTGCTCATTATCAACAAAGCTTAAGTGGCTGAAGGTGAAAGGGTATATGAGAGAAACACAAGAAAATACATTTTGCCGTTTTTAGCCTTTGATCGGGATGGAGTAGGAGACTTCTCCCCTCATTCCCGTCATGTGGCGTGAGTGTCCCTTCTCCGTGTCCTCGGGGTGAACGGCTCTATCGTCTCCGGGTCACAGGCATGGGTAGCGTTCTGGGCATGCTCGGTCGGCAGGCCCAATTTTGGTAGTAGCGCGGCAGCATCAGGTCCTGTAGCGATTTTGTACGTGTTTCCTCGGTGTGTAACCAGGAGGTGGCGTGGGTTTCCCCACCGATATGATACGCCCGCGGAACGTAGCTGGCTGGTGAAGTCACTGAGGGTTCTTCTCCATTGGAGAGTGGCTCTGGTTAAGTCCTGGTAAAAAGTCAGTTGAGACTCCTCGAAGTTGAGCGGTGTCTTGCCCTTGAGTGCCGACATTATGTGCCCCCTATCCTGGGGAAGGATGCAGCGGACTATGACGTCTCCTGCTAGGAGTGTAGATGCCCTTGTTGGGGTGGGTAGTTGGTATATTCCGGCAAAGGTGAGTTTCTTTGCCACCGCAGGAGGAAGTATAGCTTGCGTGAGCCGTCTCACGTAGTGAGGTAGGTCCTCTTTGGAGACTGTGACAGGGATACCTCGGATTTTTATGTTATTGCGTCTGTGTTTGTCTTCTTGGGCTGCTAGTTGAACCTCGAAGTTTTGTTGATTGTGTTGTAGTTGTGTGAGGGAGTCTTGCAGCGAGGTGATTTCTTTTTGGATCCCCTGCACTTCTCTCTCAGTGTGTGCTACTTTTTCAGTGATTTGTTGCATGCTTGTTTTAAGGGCAGGTAAATCTGCAGCCAGCAGGCTTTGGATTTCTTGCAGCATAGTTTGCATATGCTGCAGGTCCTGTTTAGTGGCCGGTTCAGTGGTACCCTGCTGGGGTGTGGGTTGTAGCCTTGGAACCCCCTGTGTGCTTTGCTCCCTTAAGTCAGATTCTAGTGGGGAGTCTGGGCCTTGTGCGGCCGCCATTTTGGCGGGTGTTTGCCTCTGGAGCATTGTGCTTATATCAGGCTGAGCTGTACCTGGTTGAGGTTTCTGGGATCTGCGTCCCATCCCTGAGATTCCGTGTTCGGAGTTGTGCTGGGATGTGTCCCACTAGTCTTCTAGGAAGTCCCCGCCGAACAGGTAATCCAGGCCGTGGTGGGCTGATGGAAGGTAGGCCCGTGCTCTGTGTTTTGACTTTGCCTGCTTCGGGGTGTACCGGAAGGGCATCGGAAGAATCCGGGGGATCTCCCCCGTGCTATGCCGGTGTTCTTGCGGCTGGATGTCAGGGCTGCGGGCTGATATTGAGCGGATTCGGTCCGTAGATGTCGGAGCCCGCAGAAATGGCGTCCAGCCCGTCTCGTGTCCAGGCTCCGCCCCCTAACCGATATTTTTAATGAATTTTGCTTTAACTAAAATGTGCGAGGGTGTGTATGTAACCTATAAGTTCTGTAGTGTGTGTGTGTTATTTATTGCACATTAATGATATATTAGATGTTTGTGTCCTATGAATCTTTGAAATTCGATTTTCATGTTACGTAAGCAAATCTTACCAGTAATCATTAAATGTTTGTTCACTGTTAGCAATTAGATGTTTTTAGTGGGCTTCATGTACTGTAAGCAGATACAAGGTTTATATTATAAATTGTTACTTACATTTAAATACTTGGCATCAGCAAAACACACTTCATTCTGATTGCACTGCTACTTAACCCATGGTGTGCTTGTTCTAAAAAACAAACCTGGATCTATACTGCTAACAGCTCATCCATGTCAAAACCCCAAAAGTACCAATCTATCCACATATGGCTAATTCTAGTCAACCGATGTGAAATTAGCAGCTTAAACCTTTCCTTGACATTAATTCCAGAGATTTTATTTCATTGTCTTTTTAATGATGATTATTATTGTTGATTGTGATCTCCCTAACTCCTACAGCATCCCCTTCACTCATTACAATGTACTAAATAGAGAAAGTAGCTTAAATTATTTTATTTTCTATTTCTTTGACCCTATCTCTGTTTTCTTGCCATGGATTACTGCTGTCCCTTCTCCTTCTCCTGGTTTTAGAAAGGATGATTTAAGGATGGATGCACCATTAAGCTTACCTTTCCTGGTGGCAAACCTGGTCTCCATGCAATTATTTTCATGCATTCACACACTGCGCCACTATGCAATTATATCCCTTCATTCACACACTGTACCACCATGCAATTATATCATTTCAATCACACACTGTACCACCATGCAATTATATCCCTTCATTCACACACTGTACCACCATGCAATTATATCAGTTCATTCACACACTGTACCACCATGCAATTATATCCCTGCATTCACACACTGTACCACCATGCAATTATATCCCTGCATTCACACACTGTACCACCATGCAATTATATCCCTGCATTCACACACTGTACCACCATGCAATTATATCCGTTCATTCACACACTGTACCACCATGCAATTATATCCCTTCATTTGCTGTACCACCATGCAATTATATTAGTTCATTTACACTGCACCACCATGCAATTATATTAGTTCATTTACACTGCACCACCATGCAGTTATAGCCCTTAATTCACTCACTGCACCACCATGCAATGAAATCCCTACACACACACACACACACACACACACACACACAGCCTCTTTAAATATGTGTGTTCACACACTCTGTCTCCATATAATAATATGCTGTGGCTCCAGTACTCTCATATAGTCATTGTCCTCCAGTTTTGTATGAAGAAGGATCTTGGTGGTAGAATTGGGTGCTAGGAGAAACTTGAAGAAAGTTTGACAAAACCCAGTGTGGAACTCACTTCTGCAATAAGCTTTAAGGGGTACGCAGTGTGCCATTAACATTTCAAATCCGAAATATATAACTAGCTGTATTGAAAGAAAAGGAAATGTAATGTTTTAAATGTCTTGCCCATGTGAAATGTCCACCTTTTGTCAGTCCCACCAACTGGTAAACAGTACACAATCCGCAAAGTTAGTCAGGTAACAATACCTCCATCATTGCTCTGGGACACAAAGATAGTGTTTATAATGACCTATATTGGTCCCTCGAGTGATGAGTCATATTGTTAAAGAGCCTTTTAGGGGTATGCTAATGGTCTGTGAGACGATACACATTTCACATATTTTAATAACAACATAATCAGTCCAGGAAATGGGTGAAATGGCAGGATTTCAAAAAACTACATAATTTATGGACCTACCACAGAGCTGAGCTACATCAGATTATTATTCATATCCAGCAAGAAAAAAAAGGTAGATCGGTTTATTGAATGGATAAAATTACAGATTTCAAAATGCAAGGAGCTATAAAACTGTAGTTTTTTTTTTTTTTTTTTAAACCATTATATTGTATTTTTTTTGTTTGTTTGTTAGCTCTCTGTGATGAATAATACATCTTTGTTTTCAGGGTTTATGTACTTAACTGTATGTTGAGTTGACAGGTGACTCACAACATTTTAGCCAAAATATTCAAGTTTGAAAACACCTCTAATTCAAACTTTTTGTTTTCCTTTTTGCATCTGTTATTTTGGCCTCAGTTTTGGAATGTCAGATTGCCATTTAGTGAATAAAGACTGGTGTTTGGAATCTTTTGTTGATTTTAGTGAATTATAATAGTTTTAATTGTAATGGCCATTCTGTAATAAAATACTAAACAAGTCGATAGCACCAAGTAGTAGACATTAACATGAGTTTTTTAAGATGGGCAGCTTCTAAATGGACAGTAGGCAAAGAATCTTAAACATATTGGCTATTAGAAGTGTTACATGCAAAGGGGAATCTTAAATTCAAATTTTGACACAAGGTCAATTCATTTTAAAAAAATGTATTTCTACGAGTCTTCATTTAAGTCATCTGTATAGAAAGTGAGTGCTTTTATGTCTTTAGCTTATATGCCCTACATAACAATAGACTGCTTGATACATATATAACTGTAAACTGCAACCAGACACTTACAGTTTGAGTGTTGCTTGGAACATGCAGATAAAAATCATAGTTAATATGTCTTGTATGCTATGCTGCCTCTAGAACACTATTGATCTGTCCTGAATTGTATGGGCCATCTAAGAAACGTTGCCTTTTAATTGATTTTTCTTCTTCCGGAATGGAAGTAATGTGCTTGATACTGTGTAGAACCTTGCAGCAAGAATTTGCTCTTTAATAATGCATCCTTACCGAGAGCACATTATTCTAAAGCAGACTGTAGGCTAGCATGACATCATTTGGTCTGTCATATTCTATTGATTTGAATGAAGCAATAGCAAGCATAAACACTGACCGCTTCCTGTGCTCAGTAGGGAATTCCCTTCCAATCGAAGTGTTAATGATGATGCCATATCCTGAATCTACAATCAAAGGCAGCTTATTATTCTGAAGAAAATTAAAACTACAAATGGCAGTCTCCATATTTCTTTTCTTGGCATAATAGTACAAAAAAAGCAACTTTCTTCTACAAATAAACCTTCTCTAAATTGTTTCAGTCCGCATACCTATGGCGTGATGGCAAACAGAAACTTTGTATCGATGCATTAATAAAGATAAATGATAAATAACAGGAAGGAGATAATCTTTAGTATTTCCTTTTCCACGCACGGTTAGGACAGATAAACACATTTTTCCCCCCTTTGGTTGTATGAAATCAGTTTCTTATTTAAGTGCTGTCTAAGACCCTTGGGGGGCTAGAAGCGGTCAGTAGCTTCCTGATTGACGTCTCTGGTGAAGATGAAGGAACATCCGCATCCTATTGCCACTTGTGTTTAAAAAGAAACGGAAGAATGGTTTTCTATGGTCTGTATCTGGGGTGGACATGAAAATTGCTTTGAGTACCACATATGTGTTTCCTTGTGCTAGCAGATGTGATCACCAGTAAAAATAGACAATAATAAGGAAACGATGACATGGTGATTAGTCACTTCCGCTAGGAGCATTGATCTATGTTAAATGAATATTAAGAAACCGACTTGCCCATCATACTCAAATGTAAAACCCAAATAGAGACAAACGACTGGGGCATTGCACTGCTTGATATATGCAGATTTTTAGACTGACTATCTTATTTTACCTAACACATCTGGGTGTACACTATAGACCGCAGTAATTTTACATGGCACAACTTGATATACACTAATAGACTGCAATGGTTTTACATAGCACTACGCGATGGACCACAGTGATTTTTACATAGCCTATATTTTGATGTACACTATAGGCCGCAGTGATTTCATATAGCACATCTTGATGTACACTGTAGGCCAGAAAAGAAAAAAAGAGTATCTACCTTAAAACAATATAGAAGTAGTTATGGTATCTATAGCGTGATACCTAAAAAGGAATTAGAAAAAAAATCCAATAGTGTAAAATGTGATGGTATGATTACACTTGGAATAAGGAATAAACTTTAGCGATATGGAAAGTGAAAGTAAAGGTTGAGACAAAGGTTTGGAATGCAAACCAGGAAATGAACGGCACATGTGGAAGTGAGCTTAACGTTCTCAGGAGTTTTGGAACGCAAGCGCTGCCACCGGTAACAGTGAGGGCAAACGCGCGTTTTGGAGTTTTTAGTTGAGTGAACTAGAACACCCGTAAATATTAGCTTTGTTTGCTGATGGCATGATCAGCTGTCTTTGGAGCAACGTTGCCGTTTGTAAGAAAGGGGCTATGACATCATGCAGGTACAGTAATCAGTGAGATGGAAGTATTTTAACCCCTTAAGGACACAACTTCTGGAATAAAAGGGAATCATGACGGAATATTTCCGTCATGTGTCCTTAAAGGGTTAAGGAGTGACAGAGCAAATAGATTTAAGATGCAGAATTTTTTTTTTAACTCTGCAAACATACTACTAGTTATTTAGGCCAAAAGCTCTAAAATGCTTAAGGGTTGTGAGGGTGTCTGGAGTTTCCCTTCACGTTAAACGAGTCTTGTCCTGGTTTGGCAAAAGTTAATTGCAGAAGCTGCACCGTCTCGGAATTTGCAGTAAATGCTTGAACGTCAAATTTGAGTATTTTATTAATATATTTAATTTAATATATTGTTGTATCTTGCATATTTTAGATGTTGTATCTTTATTATGCCTGGAGTGTCCCTTCTAGCAGTGCATTTGAATCATAACTATTTTATCAGATGACAGAGCAGGCACTTAGTCTTAAACAGTGCAGCAAGTTGTTTTTTGTAGTCTTTTTATAGTTTATTTATTTATTGCTTTAAACTTACATATGTAATATACTAAAAAAACACACACAAGTTTAGTTTATCAGTAACTTCCATTTAATACATTGTGTTTTAATATGTATTTTCTACATGTTAGATTTGTGGCCTCTATTCATTTTCTGGATACCATAATTACTTATTCCGTATTTTATTTTGTTTAAAGGAACGTTCCAAGCACCATAACCACTACAATGCACCGTTTTAGAACAGTTTTGATTCTTATCTGGGGTCTGCCAGGCATGCTCTCCACTTCCAGTACTTCCTATGGAGAGCTGTAAGCTCCTAAGCAAGAGCTTCTTTTAGCTGTCATGAGCCAATCTCTGCCATGCAGGGGTAGCTCATTGGCTGAGGATGAGCTGTACAGTGAGCACACTGTAGTGGTTATGGTGCAGGGGAGCATCTTGTTATGTGGGTCTCCTGCTTGCTCAGCTGCGGCCTGTGAACACATTTCTAAATGTAGATCAGAATAGTAACTCTGTAGTTCTGCAATTTTGGCTTAAATTAAGCAGTGAAATTGCCGGTCCTCGATTGAAAGTTTTTGGTTGGAGTTGATGCTTAAACTCTGCATGGTGTGTTACTGGCAAACAGGGTTAGGTTTGGGCAGTGCACAAATCTTTTTATGGAAATCTGTTTAATGACTACAGAGTACCTATCGGTCAGTGCCCACATGGATTTGATGGAACCATAAAATCTCAATAGTACCCAGTTCGACATGTAAAAATATATTTACTTGTAAAAAAAAAAAAAAGAAGGGGTTATGTTACGCTATTTGGGACAAGGTATGAAGGAGGAAGCAAAGTTAGAAATACCAAAAATAAAAAGTTCAAAAACTATGAACAAACTGTCTTAACAAAAGATCTAAATCATTGCTTAACCTCACTGTTACTCCTTTCCTAAAACAGAACATCTGCACCGGGAAAAGAGGCAGAAAGCTGGGCCAGACCCTTTGAAGAACACTTGCAAAATGCTGGTGGTAGCCGATCACCGTTTCTTCCAGCACATGGGACGCGGAGAGGAAAGCACCACCATAAACTACTTAGTAAGTAAAATTACATAAAACGCCAACACGTCACAGCCTGCTCTATACAGTGAGAAATGAGACAAGTCAATACCACATAACAATGTTCTCTACAGGAAAAAAGCAGTGGGCGTGATTATACAATAGGGGAAAACAGTAAACAGTGTATACAGAAGGGAAGGTCGATTGCTACATGTACTGACAATATAGACTGTTTTCATAAATATATATGATGGTTAGATGTTGGAGTAAAAAGAGTTGATGAGGTTAGGGTAGACAGTGGGGTGAGGGGGACTAATTGTGTGCTGTAAAACATGGCTTTAGACGGAAATTAATGACCAGTTTGGTTAAAATGTCTTTGCATATGAAGTAACTCTTTGGAGATTTCCTAATGGACTAGCGACTAACTGGACAAGAGTTGAGGTTGGAAGTGGGAAGACTATGGATGAAGGTCGTCCATAAAATAGATGGGCTGGCAAGGATCAGCTTTATTAGGGAGGTTTGGAGCACATATGGGGAGACCTAGTGTAAAAAAACTTAACTCAAATCTCCATGAAGCTTATCTTCCTTGTTTTATGCACGGTGCTCCCATTGAAAACAAAAGGAAGGTCAGGTTTGAAATCTCGGTCACCACTTGCTGTTCCCTCTAGATTTGCTTCAGCAGGGTTTTTCAAACTAATTTAATTTTATTTGGCTTTGCTTTATTTAACAGTTCAGTAGACCTATCCCCAATGAAAAAAGGCATGCCCCCCCCAATTGTGAGTATATCAAACACATACGGCAGTTCAGCTAGCTATTTGGAGGGTTCCTTTAAACAGTAGTTTTTTTTTATCAGGGCAGAAACCACAAAATCATTTAGCAGAGAAGTTGAAAAGTACAACAGGCTTAACTGTACTTCAGCTACACAATATTTATATGAACTTCTGTATTAACTTTACTCACTCAACAGATTACTCACCGGACGTTTGTTCTTCTATAATTTTAGATTGAGCTGATTGACAGAGTTGATGACATCTACAGAAACACCTCTTGGGATGCTCAGTGGCAAGGATATGGAGTACAAATAGAGCAGGTATGATTCAATTTCAAATGAATAAATAAATGACTTATTCCATTTTATCTGCATTAAGATAATACAAATATTGGTTCAGTCTTCACGTGTATCCATATGTGGCCTCGATTTAATGTTTGGATCACAATCTGCTGAAAAAAAACATTTCAAATGTTTTATCTATAGACTTTAATGGTGACTTCTGGATATAAATAATTTAAAACATTTTTTTTTCTGACATATTTCGATGTTGATTCAAATAAACTAAATTCAGGTCTATGTTGGGAGATATATACCTTAAAAGCTTTTTGCCTTTTATTTAAATGCTGCTATGATGCTGATTTGTGCAACATACAGTAACAATGTTACAGCACTTAGCTGAACTCATTTCAAGTTTTGTAATATAGCTGGTCCTCACTTTGCGACCTACCTGTTTTGTAACGGCTCGCACTTACGACCAGCTCTTTAGCGTGGGGATTCAAAGGATTCCTTTTACTCCAGTATGCTGCTGGCTCTGCCCCTGATCTGCCTGCTTGGCTCACCTCATCAGAAGTGTTGTTCTGAGCCAATCACAATGCTTGCACATAGGAAAACATTGGATTGGCTGAGACTGTCAAAGAGGCAGATAAGGGGCAGAGCCAGCACAAGCCAAACACAGCCCAGGCCAATCAGCATCTCCTCATAGAGATTCTTTGAATCAATGCATCTCTATGAGGAAAGTTCAGCCTCTGCATGCAGAGGGTGGAGACACTGAATGTCAGTGCTGCACAGTATGCAGCACTGCCCCAGGAAGCACCTCTAGTAGCCATCGAAGGAGTGGCCAGTGGAGGTATCCCTAGGCTGTAATGTCTACACTGCATTTTCTCTGCAAAGACCGTGTTTACTGCAAAAAGCCTGAAGGGACTGATTATACTCACCAGAACAAATACAATAAGCTGTAGTTGTTCTGGTGACTATAGTGTCCTGTTAAATTAAATAATCTTCACCTGCTGTGGGACATAAAGAGACACTCAGTTGACAAAATAAAAAAATAATTAAAAAAGGAAAAAGTAGCTATATCCCAATTAAATGAAATGAAAACATGTTCCACAGCCCAAATAAAAAGTAAATAAGTTAAATAAATAAAAGTTTAGTATATAAACCCCACTGAAACATGCATTCATTTAAGTGTGCATTTTCTTTTTACCATAGAAGTCTTTGCAAGGCAGGTGCCGTAGGCAAATTCCTGCCTCCTGAGTTTAGCTCCACTGTGTTAAACTACCAGACATGTTGGCTTTGAAGCTATTTTACAGTTTTACATTTTCTGTCTACCTCTCAATATCTATTTTCCATCATCCCACTTTGACTATTTTGGCCTTAAATTTGAAAATAACTTAGAATTTTTGACTATGATCACTTTAGTGAATAAATCTATATAATATGTATATCCATACATTTTTATATGCTGTCTTATTTTAATAAATTTAGACAACTAGCCCATAGACCCATACACATACATAAAGGGGCACTATAAATACTTCAGATCTTTGTAGTGGCTATGGTACCAGGATTGCCCTACAACCTATTGAAACCAAGAGGTCTTCAGACGTTTGATACTTTTATACAATATGTGTAGTCTCTAAAAAAGTAAAGCCAATTTCTTCTGGCCAGGGTGGAATATCTTTTATTTGATCTAATTTTGGGTACCGCTGACCACTTTAGTTAAGAACTCATTAAACAGGAGAAATGCTTAATGACTTAACAGCAAGGAGTAAGAAATTAAGAGAAAAGATAAGCTTTCAAACAAAAAAGTATTGAGCTAGAAGAACATAAGCAATGTTGAAAGGAAGACCTGGTTTTATACTACGCTTCAGGAGACTCGGTGGAAAAAGTCATGGATTACAGAATTATCATTTTTGTTAGTGTGCAACACTTTTTTGTTCAGGTCATGTTATAGAAGAACGCTGCAATTCTACATGTCTTGATTGATTGGATAAAATGAACAAATGCAGTGACACTTAAGTAGATATCCCCCATGGAACAAATTTCTGGGTGGATATTGAGAACACAATGGGTCTTCCTTGATGTGTATCGGTCCTTCTGTTGATTGGACCACATAAGAGTATGTTGAACAACATGTGGCCAGCAACTGTATAAAACGGTCGCCTGTGGTGCGCATGGGCAAATCAGAATTTATTAACAACTTCATATGCTACAGTTGTTAGGAACCAGCTTTTGACCAGTTTTGTGTTAAGAGATCCTGAGTTATTTTTGGTGGATTTTCCAATTTTGACGACTATGGAAGATATTTTCCAAAGAAGGGCCAGCAATGACCGGAAGTGACGAAACTTGCCTTTATCTGAAGTGGAAAATGTTAAAGCAGAGGCAAGATTTGTCGTCTTTTGACTATTCTTTCTCAACAATTGTTTCAATTCGGAAACTTCTATGATTTAATATCTAATATCTATTTATATAGTTTCTATAAAAGGTGAAAGAAGGCAGTATGGTCAAGAGACGAAAGCTTGGAAGAGAAATGAGAAGGGGTGTTAATTGTGAAAGCTTCTACAAACTTCAGGCAAAATGAAAATTTAGGTCTCCTGTTAAATATAAGAAATTGGGTCATTGTTTACTGTAACAGCCAATAATGAATACATGAGTTTGCAGAGAGTTTAAACAGAAATATTTTGACCACTAACTATTCAAACTGCTTTGTTTTGAGGCTGCTACAAAACACACAAGTTTTATTTTTTACAAATTTGCTTAATTTATTATTTTGGCAATTCTGGTGCTCACGAAAGCACTTGAAGTCAAAAGACCATAATTATTGCTAAAATTGAAGTCTTAAAAAAAAAAAAAAAAACAGAGAAACATTAAAAGGTCAATTGTTACTTCTAGACTTTTTGCACAGTTAAAGTGTGTGTGTGTGTGTGTGTGTGTGCGCTTTTTGTCTCTATGTGCATTATATGCTAGGCTTTCCTGGCACAAGCTGGGCATAAAATGCAAATGTCATAGGGGCGGGTGTTTTGTAATAGTATATACTCTCTGATCCGCCACATTATTAAAATCACTGAAGGTGAAGTTAATTATGTTAATTATTTTGTTAGTAGCACCTCTCAAGATGTTGAAAACTATTAGGCAGCAAGTGAACGGTCAGTTCTGGAATTTCAGGAAAATGGGCAAGTGAAAAGATTTGTGTGAGTTTGACAATGGCCAAATAGTTGCGGCTAGACGACTGGGTCAGATGGTGACCTACACGATATTTGACAAGTGAGTTTAATCTTGTGACTGATCAGTGTATCAATAAATACATCTTGGAATTGAATCTCTTTAACCAGTACATGGAAAGTTCTCTGAACATATGGCTTTCAAACCTCACATATCACTCCTTGCTGTGGTGGTGGGGGAAACGAAAAAACCATTGAAGTTCCCGGCGATCTGTCGACACTGCTTTCACTGATCAGGAAGAAACACTTGTAGGTCTTGTCAGACACACAAGGATTATTTGACACTTCCATCGCATGTCTGGCATCCAACTGGGTGATATAGCTCACAAAAACATCAGACAAACTGTGCAGTCTGACAGCACAAATACAGAGTGTACTATGGAGTTAGCTGGCTAGATTCTTTGTCTTTCATCCAAATTTTATTTTATATTCTGAAAGGATGTGAATGAAAATGTATTTCCTGTTTTTAAGTTGACATATAAGACTCAGGTGCCGTTGCAGAATAAAATGTATTAGTTGATTAGGATATTCTAAGTCTATTGTAAATTTAAAGTGGACATTAACTAGTTTAAAGAGACGTTCGGAATTAAAGAAGACCAGTCCTTTTTTTTCAAGTATGTAATTTGAATAATACATTAAAATTATATTCAAAAACTATACATTCAAAAAGGGGAAAGAGAAAAAAAAACACTTGCATTTGAGGTTTATTTATTTACCACATATTCCTGTGGTCTATAACATTGAGCTAGTTTTTATTTTTGTTAATATTAAAAGGACACTATAGCTTAATGTAGTTGTTCTGGTGAGTATGATCATTCCCTGCAGGCATTTTCATGTTGTATTTACCTGAATCTCGTTAACATTCAGAAATATCTTCCCTTTCAAAGGTGATATTAGTTTTGGGAAAAGCCAGAAGTCGCAGGGAGCCAAATCTTTCTCTGAAGAGTTTGTGCCACACTTTTATTTGTTCTGAACCCTTTTACATCGTCCCCAAAAGCCTTCTGAATCATTGAAATAGTCTCCGCTGAGTAATGTTCAAGCTTAACGTTAAATTCGATTTGAACACAGTATACATGCTCACTCGATGGCATCTAGTGCCTTCACTGACTAGTACAGTGAAGTCATCATTGATCATGCATGCGCATTCCAGTCCACTCTCCTTGGCTGAAAGGTTACATCGATGTCATGCAAACAGTTCTCATTATATTAACAATGGTTGGACAGATTCTGGACAGAGCTCATATATCTATATAACTTCAAATAATTTGTTTAGTTGCACTTATTTATTTAATTTACAGATGCTGACTTTTCAAATCTTTTTCACTAAAGAATATTGGATTGTTTTGGATTTTTTTTTTTCTGTGTTTAAATATTCTTTCATCCTATTTATGAACTGTAAAGCCTTGAATTAGTTCACTGGGAGCAAGTTATATTTCCAAACTGTGGAAGCTCTCTACCTAGCAATGGTCAAATTGTGCGGACCAATAATGAGTCCAAATGTGCTGCAGGTAAGCAAATGGATGCCAAAAGCTGTCTCTGTTGTCACAGCAGAGACAGCTCGCTCCATTGCATACTGACTTTAACTCATGACTATCAGGCCATGTTAGATTTGGTATGACAAGCTGACATCTTTTGTCATGGTCTGTTTCATGTTAGATTAAGCTTTTTTGCGTTTTTCACAAATTTAATATGTGATATCTATTGGATATGCTTTCGGCACTTCCCTCTTTCTTCGCTTAAGAGAGGCATTCAAGATATCTACATATATTAGGTGAAACATGTAGGTTAGGTTACATTTGGTAACTATGGATGGTTTTATTTAAAAAAAAAATAAAATTATTTTAATGCATTCACTACAACGTAAATACAAATAAAATGTGTGAGCCTGGAATGTCTCTTTAAAGTATGGCTCCTAAATGTCTGTCGTAGATTGTACCAATATTTGACATCTTTGTGTCAGTCTAAATCTAACAAAGAAGTGTTAGAAAGCTTTTAGTGTAGTAGTTATGGTTGGTGTATTCAATCAGCAATTGAGTGCAGTAGCATACTTACTGGGGCTGGCATGCCCAGGGATTGCCAAAATACATTTCAGTCAGTGGATACCATGTAACCTTGGTACACCCCACTGATCGAATGTCAGGGTTATGGGTAATTCAGACACTGATGCAGCTGATGCTGAGTTAAATCATCAAAGCCTTTTTTGGTTGTGATGCGGTTTCCTATTGGCCTAAAGCAAGCACAGTAGGGTATAGAGATAAGAAGACAGGCACAGATGGCATGACAGTTTGATGGTTGACGGGAGAAGTCCTTGGCAGGAAAGATTGAGCTGGTGAACAGAAGGCTGGGGGCCCTGGTTAACCAAATGACGAGACTCAAAGGAACAGAAAAAGGAGTTTGCAGATATAAACCCTTTCTGTGCTGAAATGATGTGTAGAACAAGAGTTCTGAAGCAAGATACAGAGCTCACTAGTAAAAAACCCTAGTAATGCTGAGTATTTCGTGAGATGGCATTTTAATGAATTCACATTTATATCTTTTGTTTTTGAAATTAACTTTTATATAAATTTCTCTACCATGTACAATGACCACATATCTTTACAAAAACGAATGTGCCCTTGTATACACTGACAGCCACTACATTAATGCCTCTAACAAGTGAAGTGAATATCATTGTTTATATTGTTACAATGGCATCTGTCAAGGAGTGGGATATATTAGGCAGCAAATAAATAGTCAGTTCTTGAATTATATTTATTGGAAGCCGGTAAAATGGACAAGCAAAAAGATCTAAGTGTCTTTGTTAAGGGCCTTTATAGTGATGGCTAGACAACCAATAACAGAATCTCCAAAATGGCAAGTCTTGCGGGTGTTCCTGGGATAAAGTGCTTAGTACCTAACAAAAGTGGTTCATAGAAGGACAATTGGTGAACTTGCATCAGCATCATGGGCATCTAAGGCTCATTGATGCACTTCAGGAGGGAAGCCTTGACTGTCTGAGCTGATTACACAGAAGAGCTACTGTAGCTTAAATTGCTGCAAAATGTAATACTGGTCATGATAGAATGATGTCCGAACACACCGTGAATAACCTTTATCTGTGTATGGGGCTGTGTAGCCACAGACTGGCCATCGTGTCCATAATGACCTAGATTTTGTTACAGACCACATGCACCGTTTCATGGCAATGGTATTCCTTGATGGCAGTGCTCTCTTTCAGTAGGATAATGCACACTGCAAAAACTGTTCAAGAATGGTTTGTGAAACATGACAATAAGAGTTTAAAGTGGTTGCATTGTCCTCCAAATTTCCCAGATCTCAGTCCAATTTAGCACCTGTGGTATGTGCTGGAACAAAAATCCATTCCGTGGGGCCCCAGCTTGCAATTTGCAGGACTTTAAATGATCTGCTGCTTATGTCTTGGTGCCAGATACCAGAGCACACGTTCAGAGGTCCTGTGTAGTCCATGCCTCGATGCATCTGAGCTGTTTTGATAGCATGAGGAGGACCTGCACGATATTAGGCGGGTGGTTTTAATGTTGTGTGTGTGTGTGTAGTGCACGTTTTTTTCGTTTATTGTAATTTATTATTAATTGCCAACTCTACACATATACCAAGATAAATACTTTATTGACGTCAATCATTCATTCCAACAGAAGGAAAATATAATTGTCAGAGGATTATCTTCTGACCAGCTATGATCTATATGTGACGGACTCCTAAGTGTTTCCTTGCCTGTTTTTTGGCGTAGTTTGCACAACCAATCTGTTACTTCTTTTTCACATAGATCATTGTACACAAGGCACCAGAAAATGTTTCCGGTAACAAAAAACATTACAACATGGCAAAAAGCTGGCCAGACGAGAAGAAAGATGCTTGGGATGTGAAACAACTCCTTGAGGTAAGAGGCTCCTGTTATCAGTAGGACAATATTTAACACCCAAGTAAATAAATCAGAGTAGTCCACAACTCCTTTCTTAGTTAACAGCAGATTATAATTGCGCACTTATGTAACTTTATTTAGTCTAAAAACAAACTGGGAGCTGACGTGTATTTCTTTTTTTTTTTTTTTTTTTTTTTTTTTTTTTTTTTTTTTTTTCTTTTTTTTTTTAATGTATTTTGTCATTTCTTTTTTGCTGATTCTCATGCAGACCACGCAGCAGTCGCCCAGATCACTTTATTTTTCTCCTATAGAAACTGCAGGGTTAAATCCGCCTCTTGTGGCTGTCTTCCTGACTGCCACCAGAGGCACTTCTGCTGCACTGACAGAGTAAATCAGAATCACGTGAAGCGGATGCCCATAAGTAATCATGGAATACAATGCTTTGCTATGGGGAAGCTGACATGTCCCCAATGCTCCTGTATGAGGATTGGTCCTTTGATCATGCCTCCTCGATCACATTACAAGTGGTGGTGAGGTGAGCAGTGTTGAAGGAATCTCAAACTAGAATGAGAACCTTTATTAATCTATATGGCACATGGTGGAGGGGGTGGGAGAGGATCTGTATAGAAGCAGCGACAGGGGCACTATAGGTTTTTATTTCGAACAATATGGTGTGCATTTATATGTGGACAATAAAGTGTTCCTTAAACAGAGGTATTTGTTTGTTTATTATGAGTGGTCCTAAAACATTTGTGTAAGCAGCGAGATATCTCAATGGATAGAGCTCCAAGTGCAGTGTCTTGAGTTACACGGCAACAATGTCAACTTAATCATTACTCTTTTTTTTTTTTTTGATAAAGTTGATAAAAATGAGTTCCTCAAAGCTGGCTAATAAAAAAACAAAACAGTGATTTACTGAGTCAGCACAACACACTGGTCAGCGGTCAGTGGTAGCAACCTTGTCTAACGTGCACCCATGTGCTTTCAGCAATTCAGCCATGATATATCAGAGAGAGCTGCAAAGGTCTGTCTGGCCCATCTCTTTACATATCAGGATTTTGATATGGGGACTCTGGGACTTGCGTATGTCGGCTCTCAAAAACCGAACACCCATGGAGGCATTTGCCCTAAAGGTTAGTGAATCTCATTAAACTAGCATTTTTCTTGTTTTAGTTCTTTGCTTCAATGGATTGGGTTCACTCCTTGAATCATAGCTTATGTTGCCAGCTCTGATAAACCTTTACTACTAAAAGTGCAACTTAATATTTTCCTTCACTGGAGCACTTTGTTTTCGATACAATGGCATGTAGTATTTTTATAAAGTTTTCCCGTTTATTACATGCCTGGAACATGTGGTTTAAAGTGAAGAATTCAGATTGATCTAGATGGTAACTATTATTTATTGCACTGTCTACTGTTTTTGGGGGTGGGAGGTATTGTTCAAATACAAAAAGATAAGTCCTGCGCTCATCACTCCCATCACTTCTGGGCGGCAGCAATGACTACAGTACACATCAGCCCCAAAGGGAAAAAAGTTACCTGCACTCTCTCCTTAATCCCTATATATATTTAGATAAATGGATGTCATTTAGTTAAGATAAAGGAGAGAGCGCAGGTAACTTTTTTTTTTTTTCTTTGGTTTTTAACTATATATTGGGGCTGATGTGTACTGTAGTCATTGCTGCCGCCCAGGAGTGATGGGAGTGAGCGAGGACTTATCTTTTTGTATTTGTATTCACTTTTTGTATCACACAGCTTTGTTACAATGCAGCCGCCCATCCCATATGTTCCCTATTAAGGGTTAATAAGTATATAGGGGTGTATATAAAAAAATACCCCTCTCTGTCTCAGTGGAGATATCGTTGCCAGAAGCTCAGGGAAGCAAGGTGAAGGGTCAGTGTAGGACCCGCTTAGGGGATCTAGCTTGATGTTGGCAGGCGGGCATTCCCTCCAATGGCCATTGGAGTAACTAAATGAACTCCATTTGTCTAAATATACATAGGGATTTAAGGAGAGAGCGCAGGTAACTTTTTTTTTTTTTCTTTGGGAGGTATTGTAACTACATGCTTTAACTATCACCCTAGCTTCCATATCTCCATTTTGGGACTCCATAGGTTAAAGAAATACACAAATAGAACACTAAAGCATAAAAAGGAATTCTAAAGACAATACGTCAATACCTGCAGTTCTCCTTAATCTGAAGACCAGGGGATGTATTCAACTTTATACAGAACTGCTGTTCTAGGTTACCCATTCAGAAAGCTAAATTCTAGTTTTCTTTCTTAACTGCAAGTTGTTGGTGTACTCCATAATTGCTGCCGTGTTTCAGAATTGTTCCTTTGTTTTCCTGATTAAAAGTTGTATTTCACGTTTTGCTTGCGAGTCTTCATTGATTCTCTGTTTCCATTTTCTTCTTCTTCAGCTTATGAAACTGAGCTATCAAGGAAGCCGATCTATTTAAACACCGGCCTAACCAGTACCAAGAACTATGGCAAAACCATCCTTACCAAGGTGCTGTGCTCACAGTAATTACTAATCACTTTTTGTGAAATTTGGGTACATATTCTAACGTTTACATTTTAAAACGGGCAAAATGATTTTTGACATCGGATAAGCAAAATAGTGAAGTTAGTTATATTGTGTAAAGTACATTGTGTATTTCGGCTGCAGCTAAGCCACCTTGAGCTCATGTTGGTTGCCCAATACAACCAAGGCAAATAAAGACAAAAAAAAGAGATGTATTACACATTTAACATTCAAATAGGCCCTCTGGTCTTCTTGCTTCTTATCAGCCTAACTTGTTATTCTATACTTTCCTTACTTACATTTTCTCCCCACAACCTTTTGTCTCAATGTACAATTCCCCTCCAGATTGCTAGCTTACGGGCCAGATTCTCTTCTTGTTTTGTTCTAGTGTGTCTATTTATCTCGTTTCTATTATTACCAATGTTATTTTTTCATAAATTGTAAAGCAGAATGGATAATAGTACTATACAAGAACTGTTAAAACATTTTTTTATTTTTGTTTTAAATGCAAGGTATAGTTGCCTTGTAATTCTTTTGAAAGACTCTGATTAAATTAACTCTGAAACATAATGTTTTCACTTTTAGACTGTAAAGTCATCCTAGAATGTTTAGACGTCGATTTCCATGTGTTCCAGCTCCTATGATTGAGAATGCAGCTTTCCCATATTACCCCACGGCTTCATGGCCGTCTTGTATATAAAACTTAAATGCAGCCTTTAAAGGGGTAGTGAAAATATCTGTCTTTACACTGCATTAATATCACTTGTTTTCATGAGAGATCTTGTTACAGGGAAAATATGTGTACCAGGAGGTGAAGGCAGACTGGTTTTTAAAAGTGGTTTATTTTTTCCCCTCTGTTTGTTCAGGAAGCAGATTTAGTCACTACTCATGAACTGGGTCACAACTTTGGTTCTGAGCATGATCCAGACAGCATGGAGGTGTGCGCTCCCAGTGAGGAACGCGGCGGGAAATATGTTATGTATCCTATAGCTGTGAGTGGAGACCATGAAAACAATAAGGTACAATTACTCTGTTCTGTCATAATACTTCCTAATACCCAATATTATCTTTCCGTCTTATCGCATGATAAGAAACAGTGTGTACGTGTAGTAGCATGTTTGAGCAGGTTCCTCAACAACATCTGTTCCTGTGCATTCAACTCATCTTGCTACAAATACTTGTCATTTAGTCCACCTATTGACCAGCGCGGCAGAATTTGTTGACGTTGTATGAAAAGTAATAATGATCATACTACTATTTAATACAGCTGGGCGCTGTCCTTGTCTCCCTGCACGCAGTTCTTTATAACTGCAGCAATTTGCTGAATCTATTGCAGCTGTAGGAAGGACTGCCCAGTCTGTCTGATGTTAAAGACAGAGTTTATATGCCATGCTTTGCTGCCAGCTTTTCTGTACAGTGTGAGATGCACATCCCTACCTTCCCTTTTTGTGTGTTTTAGATGTTCTCCAGCTGCAGCAGAGAATCCATTCTGAGAACGTTGATGAGTAAAGCTTCTATATGTTTCAAAGAACGCAACAACAAGGTTTGTGGGAATTCCCGGGTGGACGATGGTGAAGAATGTGACCCAGGACTGTTGCACCAGCATGACGATCCATGTTGCACGCCGGAGTGCATGTTCAGGGAAGGAGTCAGATGCAGGTGGGTAGCAAGACCACAACAAAGTGGCAACAGTTTTACTGCTCTCCATATGATCCACTGCAACAATCTCGGAGAGAATTAAAAAATTGCCTGGGTTGTACCAAATCCATACAAAGCAATCTTTAGACACACCGTTGGCAGTCTGACAATTGAGTTCAGCTTAATTTTCAGTGTTACTTTAGTTTGAGCAAAAATAAGTTAGTTCCTTAAAAATTCAGCTTATGTAACACTTTTTCCATCCTTTGATTGCATGCTACCCGAATATTACTAGAGCCCAGACTAAGGGTTTCATCTAGAGTAAGGGTTCTGTAAGATCCTGCTAGTAAGCATCTGTAAAGAATCTGCACAATCTGTGATGGTAACGTGGGTATTGCTCCTCCAAATGATATGGCAATATTTTGCTCTAATTGAATCTTTCTCAGTCCTTCCTCGAATGGTTTCTAGGATTTAGAACTGTTGCGTTTACCCCAAGTTTATTAAAAGCCGTTCAAACTCACAAATGATAAATAAAAATGCAGTGTTTTTTTTGTTTTTTTGTCCAGATAATTCCTATTCTTAAAACACACCTCAAAAAAGCAAAAATAACACTAATTCACAAATCAATGCTTAGTGCAATTTATGTCCCTGACTCTGATAAAACAGATACAAACAAAATATGAATGAAAGTACACCAAATTATCAGATTAGCAAAACAGATGTATTCATACTGCACCATAATGTTCGATCAGCACTGTTGAGCATGTTCTTGTTTCTTTATTTTTTTGTAGCATTATGTTTTGGTGTATTTATTTTTTTTAATATCATTTTAGTTTAGACCCATATTTATTTCCTGAACATGCTTGTATAGATTCTTCGGGTACTAAACTGCTTTGTTGTGGGGTGAGAGCCCGATGCCTGGCGTCTACTGATGCTGATATGATACGTGTCTCCTGATGTTTTAGTGATCGAAACAGTCCATGCTGTAAAGGATGTCAGTTTGAAACTGCCCAGAAGAAATGCCAGGAAGCCATTAATGCTACATGTAAAGGAGAATCCTATTGTACTGGTAGGTGGTTGTAGTCCTGTCTCTTCAGGATCACTTTAAAATTATTTGCTTCTAATATTTTTGGATCCTTCTACTTTGTCCTTTGTTCCAGACTTTATAGATCATTTATATATAAAACCTCGTAGATGGTTACTACAATGAGACAAAAAGGCAAAAAGATCCTAATTAGTGGTAAACCTAGAGAACCAACGTTGTATTGAAATCAGAATAAAACATAAACCATTCCTTGTGAGGGGAGGAGGGATGGATAAGGGCTCCAGTCCATGGCCAACTCACATTAAGATATTATATTTTTTGTTTGACAAGCAGTATAGTTCTCGTGTCTATTTAATGAATGATTTCACACTGATTACAGCCATTTTCTCCCATGGTTAGGTACCAGCAGTGAATGCTTGCCACCTGGAAATGCACCAGATGACACGATCTGCGTAGATTTAGGAAAATGCATGAGTGGGGAGTGCAGACCGTTCTGCGAGATAGCAAACAAAAACCTTACGTCGTGTGCCTGCAGTGGTAAGTGGATCAGCAATATAGCCTCTGCCCTGAATGTGTCAGATATTAAAGTGCATTCCTACTGAGAACTCACAGGGTTTCCCAATGTAACATCAATTTTCAACCTTACTGTGTATCCTAAGCCATGGAGGGCCAATGGGTAGAACTACTAAAGCCATGATGCTTTGCCATTCCTAAAACAGGCGAAACATCACAGGAGCTGTAGTTAGACAACTTTTTCATGCAAAAATTTAGTTATCCGTAAAGGATGCACGTATTATATGTTAAAATACAGGTTCCCTTCACAGAAACTTCTTTTTTGATAAAACACACAAGAATGGCAGAATAAGAAGATTGCACTAACAACTTAAAGCCTTTCTGTTTGTTACTGTTAATAAAACTGCGTTTCTGTATATAGGGTATTATTTTCTCAATCCTTAGTGTTTTGCTTTCAGAAATTGAAAATTCCTGTAAAGTCTGCTGCCGAAATCGGAGTGGGATTTGTAGTCCCTACGACAACGGAAATCCGCCATTTCTATATTTACGCAAAGGAAAACCGTGTACGGTGGGGTTCTGCGATATAAATGTAAGCTATCTTCTTCCTTCTCCATGAAATCTGTTTGTTCTCTCTCTACTTTCACAGGGCCCACAGTCAACTTTACTTTAGTAAAAGGTTTTTGTTTTTTTTAATAAAACACCCCAAATGGGAATTTATGAACACCCATACATTAGGGAATTAATCCAAACTAATATTTTACCAGTAACCCTCCCTCCTAACTCTGTGTATTAAAAATAGTGACTTTTCATTTACCTTAAATATGGCTACGTAATAAGTTCCCCCTTTCCACATTTATGCATATGTGAGATGTTTATTAAGACATAGGGGTTGGCAGCGTTTTGACTGACTAGGAGATTTTACTCAATGTTGGGAAAGACGCCTAGTGAGTCGAAACACTGCCAACACCGGAGTCTGCTTTGGATCATCCAAAGTAGTGGGATGTGTTATTGAGAGGCGTTTGCAGTCCCTTTTCTGTGTACATACCCTTTCCATAATTAAACTGAACCTTCTGTGCATATGTTACAGTACAACATTGATAGCAGCTGGAAGACGTGTTGGTGGTGGGGGCCGGGGAGAGGGCATAGTATGGTCCTTGGGTTATGTATTGTATCTTATATAAGCATGTAGTTCTAAAAATGCCAGCAAAGTCATTGCAAATACAGAACAACACATGATTTAATGTTCTTTATTTTACCATGTATTCCATTCTTTGTTGTAAGATTTATAGTGTCCCACTAGTTTTTTTCTGAACCTGCAGAAAGCAGCATTGCCGATTTAAAGGATATTTGTTTTACCTCCCCAAATTTTTAGAAAACATTATGGAATGAGGATACAGTTGTAAATGTATCTGATTTTGCTTATTTAATCCTGAGCGGCAATATCTATGCTGTTTTGTGTACAAACTATGTATCTTTGTTTTATGTAAATTGTACACTTTTTAAGACTCTTTTCGTAAGTAGGCTAATGAAACCAGGGTGGGTTGGGGTGGAGTTTTTCAAATAAAAACTCGCACTTTTTTTATTTTATTTTTAAATATCCTGTAATTTCAAAATGCTTTTTGTGGCTGTAATGAGAAAATAATAAATGAGTGTGACATCATGCTAAACAGTAAATGTTTTATTCCACTGAATATGGAAAATTCACTGTTTAGGATTTTGTGTCATGCTGGTTTTTGCTGGCAGAATAGACCTCAGATTAATATAATGCTATACATTCAGTAGGTTTTATCAGCTTAAGTTTGTGGTGGTTGTCAGGTGGGTATATAATTCTCGGTCACTCTTGTCTTCTCCTGTGTAGAGGATTGCAGTTTCCAACTTCTACCTGGGAGGGCTCTAATAATTTGTATTCCTAACGCTATAGTGTTCTTTTAAATACAAACCTGTATTCTTAATGCTTTAGTGAGCTACTCACTATAGCAGTAGAAATGTAGGTTTGCTTACCTCTTCTCCATGGCCAGCCACTCCTCCATGAATGGGATCCCTATCTTGATAATCTCAGCCAATGCAATGCTTTCTCATAGGGAAGCATTGAGAGGCTATTGTGCATGCGTGGCAAAATGCCATGCTGTGCCAATCCGCATATCCTCATAGAGATTAATTGAAGCAAACATCGCAGGACCTAACCCAGGAAGTCCCTCTAGTGGCTGTTAGTGACTGCCACTAGAGGTGTTACTGGGCAGCATTTACGGTGCACAGCCTGCAGGGACATGCAATAGACACCAGAAACCACTATATTAAGATATAGTGGTTCTGATTACTGTAATGTCCCTTTAACTCTTAATAGTTAACCGTAGGTATGTTTTATTTGTTTTTTGTTTTTAAATGCTTTTGTTTACCTCTGGTTGACCCTCTACTGTTTCACTTGTACGATGCTCTTCATATTATCCAAAATATCATGACTGTTGTAATGTTCAATGTACAGGCTAAATGATCTCTTGTAAATCTCCTCCCAAGTTATCTCCTATGTAGCCGGTGTGGCTGTTTGCTTTCCAGCACTGTGTTTACAATAAGGACATTAGATTATTGTTTATTTGGGAAGGTCCTGAAGACAGCTGTGCTGAATTTGTCATGTACTAGTGAGTTATCAGCCCCAGTCAGAGTGTTGTTAACCTGTCCCTATTCACACAGGGGAAGTGCGAAAAGCAAGTTCAAGATGTTATCGAAAGGATATGGGATTTCATTGACAAACTCAGCATCAACATGCTAGGTATGTTTGTTTTTGTAATTTTGTTTTGTAACTGGACTTTGTCATCATTAAAGGGATTCTCTAAGCACCAAAACAACTTTAACTCAATGAAGCTGTTGTACAGATCATGCCCCTGCAGTCTCACTGCTCAGTTTTCTACCAATTAGGAGTTAAATCTCTTTTGTTTCTGTTTATGCAGCCCTAGCCACACTTCCCCTGTCTGTATCACACTCTCAATAGGCCTGCATTAAAAAAAAGTTTCATTTCAGATGTAACATCAGTGTGTTTAATTTAGAAGTTATTATCTCCTGCTCTGTTGATTGAACTTTAATCACACACGGGAGGAATCTGAAGGCTCTAGCATGCTTTTTACATTGCAGGACATAATCCTGAGTTAAAAACACTGTGCAATAAAACAAGTTTAAACATTAGATCTCTCTTTACAGGAAGTGTATAGGAAGTCTGTGTAGGTCACATGCAGGGAGCTGTGACCAGGGTTTCATAACCAAACTAATTTTACTCTTAAATGGCAAAAAATTTAGCAGTGAGACATTACGGACATGATCTATACATCAAAACTGCTTCGTTAAGCTAATGTTGTTTTGGTGCTTATAGTGCCCCTTCCACCTCTGTTCCTGGATGTGCTAGCTTTAGCTTCAATTTGTCAGGCTAATTGGAATTTTTTTTTTTTCCCAGCTTTGCTATTTTGGCATAGTCTTTGCATGTAATTTGTCTGCTATGTGCTATCTATGTGAGTGTTGTGTTGCTGGGTGATTCTGTCTCAAGGACCTTATCTGGACTTAACTGGTTTCCCATCTAATATCCATTGAATAGATAATAGGGTCCTAGGTAGAAGGACCCTATTATCTACAGGCATCTCCCACATTCTACGAGAACACCTCCAAAGAGAATAATCATTAATATTTAGCCACCACTTTGTGTGACCCTTAAACATATGACTCTCTTGGTTACATTTACACAGACTTTCCCTCACTGGGAAAATTTATTTATTTTATTTCTATCTGCAATCCTCACACTTCGGTAAGCTGGTAAGGGACGTTAGCTGAAAGGGACCTATTTTATCTTGGCAAAGCTGGGCCTAAGTAGTAAATTTTAACTTCACACACCATTATGCAGGTTTAGTAACTAAACCGTAAATTAATGTGAATTCACAAATTGCAGGATTTTCACATTTTAGGCCAGTTTGCATGTATTCTCACTTAGCTGTTTGGCCTAAACATTTCCATTAATTGGTGAATTTATAGTGTTTGGGACAGGGTCACACACAAAAAATATATATACACAATATATGATTTTTCTGAGGGTTCATTTTAAAGATAAAGACATGTCAAAGAAGTACCTGCTAAGCCTTATCGGGCCTGTGTTCTGTTTTAGATTACAGCTCTCATCACTCCCAGCCATGGTTGTTTAGCAGTATGAAAAGACCTGTGGATGCGGTTATCGAGCAGTGGTTTCAATGAATAAGATTTGTGATAATCATGGATTAAATTATACATTTTCTTGTTTCTCTCCAGGAAAGTTCCTTGCAGATAATATTGTAGGCTCTGTCATTGTATTTTCTTTGGTATTCTGGATTCCCCTGAGTATTCTTGTCCATTGTGTGGTAAGTAAGAGTCATATCGTACATTGTGCACAATGTCATGTAATCTTTCTACTACAATAAAAAAAAAAGTGTAATCTTTTAGCAGGAAAATATTTATATGTTAAAAATATATTTTATTATTTCGTTGTCATTTTAAAGAGCCACTTAGGGCAATCAGATCAGTTAATCTCGATTTAAAGTGGTCACTGTGCAGTGGACCTGTATGTTTCCATTGTAGGGTTAAAGGGATACTGTGGTGTTAAGAATACAAAGATGTATTCTGAACACTATACTTCTCTTTGTCCGGCACTGCAAGGGTTAGTAAACCCTTACTGCACTGACCCGATTCCATTGCCAATCTCCCTTGGTGCTGGGTCGGCGCTTCACCTCCTGCAACGCTACCTGGGTGGGGTTTGGCGCTAATGCGCATGTGTGGCAAGCGTAACAAACTTTTCCTATGGGATTTTACTGTCGCTGGATGTCCTCATGCAGAGCAGAAAGTGCCTATAGTGGCTGTCTGGTTGACCGCCACTAGCAAGGCACTCTTAGTCCTGCAATGTAATTATTGCTGTTTCTCTGGAACTGCAATAATTAATATTGCATGACTAAAGGGGTCTGGGACACTGCACTGAGCTGAATAATGTCCCTTTAACACAACTCTAGTGGCTGTCGTCCTTACAACCACTAGAGGCACTTTTGCATTGAGAACGGAGTCAAACTTGCTTTTCAAGTTCTCCTAGAGCAGCATTTTATTGGTGCAGGGATTTTCGGAGACATTTGAATGGCTGAGATCATCAAGATCTCTAAGGAGACGAGGCAGCCGTAGATTGAGCAGCACGGCAATGGAGAAAAGGTAAGTAAATATAACTTTTCCATACACTCTGAGGGATCTGGGGATGAGGCCAAACACCTAAAAAGCTACAGCTTACTACAGCGTTAAGAATAGAAATGTTTGTGTTCCTAACGCTGTAGTGTTTAATACTTTAAAATATTTTTATTTTTTTTAAACCTTAAGAAATAATTTTTTGTAGTCACAATTTTTAATTCCTATGAACCCATAGCTTTTCTTGCCTTCTGTTATGATTGTCATGTTGCTGTGTGGTGCAGTGTGTGATCTTGGTGTGTATGTCTCCTTTAATTTGTTGCTGGGTAGGATGCGAGTTTCAGAATGGTGTCACTTTTCGATGCACTTATAAAAGAGTCACTAAAGGCTGTAAGACCCCCGTTGTTAATGCACTATAGACCCAATACTTTAAAAAAAAAAAAGTCAAGAGCTCCTCATTCTGATCTTTCAATCTTATGCCTGTCTTGTCTTATCCAATAAACGTCTGTCTGATGGTGTTTGTCAGATCAGATTGGTAAGAATGCTGAAAAATGTAATAGCGGCCATACTGCAAATGGATTCAGTTTGATAGCCCTAGAGAACGACACTTTGAGCGCGAAATAACTTTATCGCTCCCGTGCACTGTGCATAAAGGTTAACTCTTTCAAGCCCTCATAACTATAGTGCGCTGCTTCTTAGTCAATGTCTTAATTCTTTTTACACTCTTCAAATTGTCTTACGGTAATAACAAAAACTGTAATATGTTGATTATTTCATTATAATAGTTCATGTATACAACTACTGAGCTGTGATGTCACTAATGTGATATTTTTTTTTTTAATAATATTGTTTGGGGTTTTTTTGTGTTCATATGATTGAATTCCTGTTAATGATCTACATATTTTCATTTCTCAATTTCTTAGGACAAGAAACTGGATAGGCAATATGAAGAAAACACCAAATCTTTATTTTTACCCAGCGTAAGTTATCATTACTTCTCCTACCTATCTGTACAAGTTTGGAAAGCTTTGTCAGTGTTCGCTCTGTTCGTGTAGGTTGCAATGCCAGCTCTGCTCTACATGGTTCTATATTAGCTATGCCAGCTCTGCCCTGCGTGGTTCTATATTAGCAATGCCAGCTCTGCCCTGCGTGGTTCTATATTAGCAGTGCCAGCTCTGCCCTGCATGGTTCTATATTAGCAATGCCAGCTCTGCCCTGCATGGTTCTATATTAGCAGTGCCAGCTCTGCCCTGCATGGTTCTATATTAGCAATGCCAGCTCTCCCCTGCATGGTTCTATATTAGCAATGCCAGCTCTCCCCTGCATGGTTCTATATTAGTAATGCCAGCTCTGCCCTGCATGGTTCTATATTAGCAATGCCAGCTCTGGCTTGCATAGTTCTATATTAGCAATGCCAGTTCTGCCCTGCATGGTTCTATATTAGCAATGCCAGCTCTGCCCTGTGTGGTTCTATATTAGCAGTGCCAGCTCTGCCCTGCTTGGTTCTATATTGGCAGTGCCAGCTCTGCCCTGCTTGGTTCTATATTGGCAATGCCATCTCTGCTCTGCATGGGTCTATATTTGCAGCGCCAGCTCTGCCCTGTATGGTTCTATATTAGCAGTTCCAGCTCTGCCCTGCATGGTTATATATTAGCAGTTCCAGCATTGCCCTGCATAGTTCTATATTCACAATGCCAGCTCTGGCTTGCATGGTTCTATATTAGCAGTGCCAGCATTGCCCAACATGGTTCTATATTAGCAGTGCCAGCTCTGGCTTGCATGGTTCTATATTAGCAGTACCAGCTCTGCCCTGCATAGTTCTATATTAGCAATGCCAGCTCTGGCTTGCATGGTTTTATATTAGCAGTGCCAGCATTGCCCTGCATGGTTATATATTAGCAGTGCCAACTCTGGCTTGCATGGTTCTATGTACGCAGTACCAGCTCTGCCCTGCATGATTCTATATTTTATTAGAAGTGCCACCTCTGTAGAATGCCTTTAGAATAAAACTTTATTTTGAAGAATAACAATTCTTTATTCCTACTTTTCTCTGTTGCTGATTAATGTGGAAATAGAATGCGGAGATGATGAGCAGTATGGACTCTGCTCCAGTGCGGATAGTGAAGCCATTTCCTTCCTCCCAACCCACTCCCCGGTTCCAGTCACTGCAGCAGGTTCCGGTTGCGCCAGCCTCTGCCTCGGCCTGCAAGTCTGACCACCAAAGAATGGATACTATACAGGAGGATCCAAGCACGGATTCTCACCTTGATGATCAGTTTGACGAGGACCCCTTTCCTGCTAGTGGCTCTCCAGCAAAGTCCTTTGAGGACCTGACTGATCACCCTGTAATCAGGAGTGAGAAGGCCTCTTCCTTCAAATTACAGCGGCAGTGTCGTGTGGACAGCAAGGAGACAGAGTGTTGACCCAGCACCCCATAGGCAACTTAGACAATCATTTCATTTGTCCTAAAAGCTAGGCAGGTTAACTGTGGGTGGAAACAAGACCAAAACGGTGTGACATCAGAGGAAATGTGAAGAGCTTCTTATCATTATGGTTAAACCCCATCAAAGCCAGCCCTTATTCCTTATGGATCTTGCACTCCAGTTGCTGCTGGGTTAGCTATAAGTGGGCCTCCAGCTGTTTAAGGTCTACATCTCTCATAATCCTTTAGCAGCCACTTGCTTTGTGGCTGATGGGAGTTGTAGTCCTTTGTACACTGGACACCTGTTTTATTGCGTACTTTAAAGTCTGCGCCCCACTTTCCTGTGCTCAGGAAGCTATAAAACTGGTTAACCCAAGAGAATTAAAAATGAAGATCTGGGAAGATGTCCGCTTTTTTGGGTGATAAAACCATCATTTCAATGTGCTGCACACTTACTGAATATAGTTATAAGCTGTGATTTTGTTTGGGTCTTTGAATGGTAGTGTAATTTTTAACAAGCATTTGTCTGCTTCATGTCTTTGTGCCTTTGTAGAGTGATCCTTAATAGCAGGGTTATTCAGTTTGGACTAAAAGTCCCATCATTCTCAGCCAACAGATGGTGATGCCCAAGAATGGTGGGCTTTGCTTCTCAATCCATAGCTGGAATGCCATGGGCGAGCACATCCGTCATAACCCTTTAATTGCTTGTGGGCATTCAGTGTGTCAATTCTGTTCTTATCCTAAGGGAGTTCATGTTATGTCAATATTCAAATAAGATTCCAGAGAAGCCATCAATTGCCAAATAGCAGTGCACTTTGTAAAATAGAGATAGGGAACATTCCTATATATGCTTTTCTAAGCTGACTGTGTGTGAATTTCATTGCTTTGTTTTTTTTACACTCCGTTACATGCTTTTCTTAATATCTTGTTTGGCAAAATCCTGGCTGCTGTTTTTCATTTCACTCATTTTGCATAACCACAAAGCCTGATGTTTGTTCATTTCCCAGTTATTGACCAAGCCTGAATGAGTCCACTGCAGAGCTGATTTAAATTAAATTCTATGATTTATTGTGGCTGGGCTGAGGTTAAAGCCTCCTGACACGTTTTTTTTCCCTCTCTAATTTACTTTTCTTATTGACTGATTACTTAGAGGACAAATAATATTCACAACTTTATCCGGAAGTGTCTCATCTTCTTAAATTTTCAGTGCGCACTTTAAAATAAATCATTAAATCTATTTACCATTAAACACAGCCTTAATTAAGATTTGATTCTTGTATCGCTACCAGTTGTCTTGATGTTTTGTTTTGACGAATCCTCTATTATCCCCATCTAATGGTTTGCATACTTTTTGTCCAGTTAATGTGCTTATATCATTTTGTTTTCTTATTGCACAGTACAATAGTGACCTGTCAGTTTGTGCACTGTAGAAATGATTTTTTAAGTTCATACTTTCCATTACGGATTGTCTTGATATAATAGGACTGGAAGAACGATTAACTTTTATACAACGTTAGACTGATGCGTTCTAATATTGCAATTATTTAATCTGTATATGGCTCAGGGTGGATTGTATTAACCAATTTTTACACACAATTTTTACCGTTGTCCTTTAATCCACTAAAAGGCAAACTGTCCTCTCCTGATGTGTGATTTAGTTTTTTCATTTCTTCCCTCCCCAAATTTTGAATAATAATAAAATGTACTCTGCGTGATTATAGAACAATAATTCCAACATAGTGCTGCCATTTAAGGAATCCTGCTTTGCCTGGCAGTACACGAACGTGCCATTCCCTGCCATGATCATAATTGCAAGCTGGTCACTATAGACGATAGGGTAGCTAGCAAGAGCAGTATTTTATATCAGGAAATTCCATTTTGATAGATGATATTTAAAGACTAGATTGCGCCCTGGCATAATCAGGCACTGGAATACTCCTCTAGAAATTACACCATTAAATAAAACCTTGATAATCATAATTTGTGTTTTACATTTTGAAAGAAAACAGAACATGAATAGGGTGTTTACATTTTGCAGTTGGTGTCCAATGCAGTCCAGGCACAGGCAGGGCACACAATTCAAATGAGAAGAGAAACAATGTTTCGGTTTGTCCTCTTCCTCTTTGTTCAATAGGCAACATTTATAATCAAGATTGACAGGGAGCCAAGTCTAAGGCATTCCAGAAAAGGTAGAGAGTTTAGTATAGTGGTGCGGATATCTAGATTAATTTTAATTTTCAGATCACAAACATTTTTGCCAACTATAGGGGATAAGTCAAAATACTGGAAGGTGACAGTGTCCCTTTAAGGGGTAAAATAAAACCGAATTCTTCACTAAGTATTGGAGGTAAATTGATGATAAATAGATGTAATTGTTCATTACACCCCCTTCCACCAATGCGTTCACCCTGCCACCTGTAATCTGTCCCTATGTGTTTTAACATACCTCATTCAGTAATTTTTATTGATGTGGTTTGTTTGGTCACCAATGAGCTAATTTAAAATACAGTTTTAACTTTTTTTTTTTTTTTTTTACCTTCAGTCTTTTCCTGCGGCTTCATTCTAAAGTGCAGGGTGTTCTGCAGCAGTAAAACAAACGAGGATATACCATAATTGTTACACGTGCATGATTTCTCAGTGCGCTATAATTATACAAAAAGGGGGTTTTAGAATAAGGCAGCTTGTACTAACCGTTATTAATTCTGAACCACCTATGTTAATACGAAGGTGTGTTTATTTCAATTAGCAAAGGGTGTGTGTTAAAGGAACTCTCTAAGCACCATAACTACGACAATGTGCCATAGTGGTTGTGGTGCCATGAGTGCCCCCCTTCCAAAACGTAAGCAGTGGGGTTTTCGGAGTTTCATTGGCTCTTCATAACAGGGTTTAGCTCTGGAAAGATGACACATTAGCAGAGAGCTTGAGCTGGTTTCCAACAGCCAATTAAAAAAGCCCTGCACCACCATGCTTAGCCTAAAGAGAGTTTATGGCCCTTATAGTGTCAGCGACCAGCACCCTGCAGACCCCAGTTAAGAAGTCAAATTGTCGACTCCTTATATTAGTATTAGGTCACCAGTGCACTAGTGGCAACATAATCGTTTCAATGCATTTTGGTGGCTATGGTGTTCGGAATGTTCCATTTCTGTGTCTGCATATTTGACAGTTCTAAAATGTTTGTAACCTGCTCTCACTGAACACTGCTCTGATTTCCTGAAAACCCTCTGCCATGTTTATTCACTTGTGAGTAAATTGCCTTGAATTCATAGTGAATTTTATATTATAGGCCACAAAAGACAATTGGGAAAAAATGTCCACGTCCATTATTTATTCTGTTCATTTATTTTGGCCTACATTTTTAAATTGTCTTTGAATTCACAGCAAGTCACACTTTAACTGTTGTATTTAAGGGAGGAAAGAACTTTGGTTTACTCGCTAGCCTTCCCTCAGTTTGTATAAAGATGGCTGCCTGCAGATGTCCCCATCCTAGTGTGTGCGAATCGACCATCGCATTTTCCACAGCAGCAACTGATTTCAGAACCCGGTAGCATTCGTGTCACCTTTTCTGTCTCATATTTTTGTAATGTTTTCCAGGAATTTACAGGCTGCTAAATGACAATTCACTGCTAATATCCTATAGTATGAGAACTATAATGGGCCGTTAACGGGCTCTGGTGATCCCATGAGTGTATACACGTATTTATTTATTTGAATTTTGGATACTGAACATCTATAGTGAGTAAAAATCGCACTAAGTGGTGAAAACCACAGAAAGATAAAACAAGGACAATTTTCAGTGTAATCTTTCAACACCTTTTTTCCTGTAGTAGTTAAAAGGAATTCTAATGATCACATTTAAAGCTTATAAGAGCGTTGAATTGTTAGCATTATTTTTTTGTGAATATTTCTACACAGTATTAAACATCTAGGTCTTTGATTCATTCATGTTTTTTTAGTTTTAAAAAAAATCTGCAAAAATTGACATTACATAACTCTTATTGCCCACCTGCCATTTTTCATATATTTGGTTGTATATGGTTTTTGTAATTTGTAACATGAAATTTCTTACAAAATATTAATCGTTTGCTTTTTGTGTTTTGTATCCCTCTAACCACTATCACGGTACGCCGTACCCAAGCGCACCCGCAAAGGATAGAATTCTAAGTACTGTACATTTATTAGCAATTGTTAAATCCATGTTGTAATTATTATCAAACTAATTTCAGACTAACACTGATGTTATTGTAAAGTCTATAGCGAACTGCTGTAAATGTCACTTAATATTTTTGGTTAAGAATTGTAAATGTATTTGTGCCTTACAACATGCTTTTAATACAAACTTTTTGTAATTTGGATATTTCAAGTGTTGATGTTCTTTAACAAAAAAAAATAATTGTTCTCAAAGTGGCAAAAGTCGAGCGCATTTTCTATTGTGTGTGTGCATTTTATAAAGATGTATATTTTTTACTTCAGATGACAAGTCTTAATTTAAAAAACAAACAAACCAAAACCAACTACAGGTGCTACAGAAGCAGTAAAATGTATTATTTTATAAAGGAATAAACATCCTTTACAGAGGTGCTTGATAGTAGGTTTCAGGTTTGCTGTTTGCACAATAAAAGAATGCTTGTTAATTGTGAGATGTGTTGGGTCATTGCTTTTATATCTGCTAGTTTGTAAGAAGTCATGTTTGCTGACTGTTGCCGGTATATTATTCGATATTGGATTTATAGAGTATTAAATACATTTTGGTAACTTTGTGCCTCAGCATCTAGTTAGTACCTTTTTAATATTAACCCCTTCCAGACCACGGATATCAGGACAACAAAGGATTTGATCTCAAAGGGTTAACGCACATTGGTGTTGTACATTTAAAAAAATATAGTAATATACAGGCCCAGAAATGGCGATCTGCACAAATTCTCAGTATATTGCCTCTGGTGTCTGAGTTCAGTATAGAACCCAGTGAGTACAGAGTATTGTGTAACCAGTATTCTTTAGAAACCGGCGTCACAGATAGGTGTGGAGACTGTGGTCCGTATAGAAAGGCACTCCGTAAAGATATTTAGAACCTGTGAAATATGAAAAGTAATTATTAACACATTATTTGATTCACCCAGAATTTACCTCTGGTGTCTAGTTCTTTGAATAAGACTCCACAGGTAAATCTGGGGTAAATTTATTTATACTGGTGTGGATTAAAATGATCTTGATTTGGGTGAACTGAATGAAACCGATTTAGTCTAGTTTCTAATCACTCCAGAAAAGTAAAACAAATGCATTATCCAACAGTGTAATCTCTACGACAGGTGATTCTAGCAATGCTGCACTCTTATTTTTAATTGATTAGAGGACAAACAAAATTTCAGTAGTTTGCTATAATTTACATCACTTTCTTATTCCCAGTGTTTCTAAGTATCCATTCAGAGCATGGATGGCCAGGACAAGTCCATGCCTGTGAATTTGCAACGGAATTCTAGGACTCTGTTTTCTTGTCCTGAAGCAAGGAGGCTTCGGGGTTTAGACTGTCCACATCGTTCCAGTAGGGGAGGATAAAGGGAAGATCTGAAGCTTTCCGCTCCAAGATCTGCCACAGCTGGGACTCCACAAATCTATTTCCTTCATCTGATAAGTGGAGCCCATCAGAAAGATATAGTGTAAAGTCCTAGAGGGAAGAGGAAAACAAATCTATAATTACAGAACATCATAACATTTTCTACATGTTTGCACTTTGTTAAAACAAACGCTTATACTATATCATTTAGATTAATCATTCAATCCCGTGAGTGACAAAGGTTGAAAACCAGCATTGTGACAGTGAGGATGTCATTGTTATATAGCTAAATGACTTTCTTTGAAATTCCAACGCAATCATGAGATATACATGACACAAAGTACTCATCTGAAACTCTGCTCCTTATGTGCTGCTGAATTATCTATTGTATTCAAAGAATACTGGGAGTTGTAAGTTATCAACATCTAGAGATACCTGAAATTTTGAATACATTATTTCATATAAGACCTAAGATTTGGCAAAATGTGACAATGGACAGAATTCCTGCTGCCCCATCCAGCCAGTTCCCATCAGACTAAACGGCTAACAAAGAGGCAGCATCTCGAGCAATGGTCAGTAGATGACCAAGGTTGGAGACTATCTACGGAAGTTCTATCATGCTCCCATCATAGACACAGTTCTACTCTCAGGCATGCAAGAAACTACACAGTTGGTGTGGCTCTTGACAGGGGAAGCCACTGATAGTTAGAAGCATGGAGGCAGGACATCCACTAAGTTTATCTCCCCACCAGAGAATGGTGTCTATTTTCTATCGATCCTGTGTCTTATCTGCACTCATGTCGCTTTGCCCCCTGTATCATAACTCAACTTTGAATTCTATGTGTCGTCTTGCTCAGAAATGCTTTAGACTTGAGAAAGGGAGGTTCTCCTGAAAGCTTGTCATTAAGTGTATTTTTTATTTAAACAAACAGACCAAAACAATATAGGAGATATCACTACTCATCCTACCTGGCCACCTTCTTGCATTGTAGTCCACAAATCCAAGATTTCTGTTCCACATTCATTGGCAACCTGAATGCATGCTTTGGCATACACACCGGCTCTTTCATTGGATCGATTCAGCTTACATCCTTAGTAATGAGAATAGACGGGTCAGATATAGATGAAGGTGCAGGTGAACTGCAGTCAGTGGTCCAGTTAGGTCCCCTGCAATCTACTGTTCTGAGAAGCAATAAAGCTAACGTATTCTGTTATTTAAACCACTAACGTTTTAACCACAATGATCAAAGTTATCAGCACTATAGCCACACAGTCTCTCTGCTCATTCTCATATTCATATCTGGGGTACACTTTACAGTTCAGAAGAAAAATACACCCCAAATATTTTGCTCCCACGAATCAATTATATTTTACATGTGTATTCTCTCTCTCTCTCTCTCTCTCTCTCTATATATATATATATATATACACACACACACTAACATTCTCTACATGTTTGCACTGTATTTTAAAACACCAAAGCTTACACTATATCATTTAGATTATTCATTCAATCCCTTGAGTGAGATATATAGAGAGAGAGAGGGGGGGAGGAAGGGGGGCAGCGGGGAGAATAATGGCGATTTAGTTGACGCAGCATACATGTAATGCATTTTTGGCAGGTTCTACTCCATACTAACCTAATGACTGCACTGATGAGATATCACACACTTTCTCCCTCTTTTAGTGAGAGTGTCGGAGAGAAACGTGGCAGTGATAGTAAGTGTGAATTACCTTTTAGGTGACATTCCTTCTCCCAGGCTGGCTCGTAAAGGGGAGGAGGTGTGATCAAGATAATTCTATCTCCAGTAATGTCAATAGATTTTAGATATTGTATCATACTTCGTAAATTGTCTGCATATTCCTCCAAGGGGATGTGTTGCTGTGGATTTTCTTCTATTTAATGTAAAGTAGGGGAAAAAAAGCGCACAATTATCATATTGTTTAATTTATCTTTCAGAGTGCCTCAGTATGTCCTTATTATTGAAGTGAAATTCTAGACAGGGGAGGTTTAATTATAACCGTATATGGACCGTAGGGTTAATTGACACAATTAGTCTCTCAAGATAAAAAAAATGGCAAAATGTATCATTGTTAAAAACATATATATAAATTAACGTCCATTTATTAGAGGGTTAACAGCTCTTCGGAATAGGATTCTGCTTATCCCATGTTCTGGGCAGAGGGGGCCTTTATGTACATGAAACGTTTGCCCACATTTATCAGATGTTCAGTAACATAACAGATACAAAGTGAAGAGATGTAATACCTTTTAGGGAGCTGTCATTAGCTCCAAAAAAAATTGTAACCGCGGCTGTGTTTCCAGCATGACAGCCCTTGGAGACCAGCTTGGGTAAGATCAGTTTAGCCCATCTTGTGTTGTAACCGGACAGCCCTCGGTTTATTACATCACATTTCCTACATGGAAAACAAAATTCACAAAAATTCTATCCTTATTCAGCTCTGAAATAATCTATGGCTTCTCCCAATTAAGGTATGAATAGAAGACAATACCATAGATTTTGGATATTTAAACAGACACCATAGGCACTGTATCTGCTTCATCTCATTAAACTGGTTATAGTGTCTGGAGTCCCCTGGTACCATCATTTTTTAATGTCCCTGGCAGTCCATCCCCTCTGTGCTGCTTTGGCTCATAAGGAAGTATTAGCCTAAGCAGCAATGGGCAGCTGTGATTGGCTGAGAGTGTCAGCTGACTGCTTTTAGCCTGTCAGAGCTCCAACTGACGGTATGAATGGGTATGACAACAAGGAAGTGTGTAATCTCTGCTTTAGCTACACATACAGAAGGGGTCAGACTGCGGGTGGCCAGGGATCTCTTATTTTGTGGCATACTGTACGAACATGGTGCAACACTGAATGGAGGGACAGTGCCAGGGTACTCCAGGCACTAGAACCAATTCAAAGAGATGAAATGATTATAGTGACTACAGTGTCCCTTTAAGTATTTAATAGATCTACTCACATAGAAAACATGTATGTATTTATCCTTCATGTTTTCTTTTTTTTGGGGGGGGGGAGGGGAGGAAATGCTTACAAAATCTGAATACTTGCTGTCTGCAGCTCTTCCCCAGCTTTTGTGACAGGCATCGAGGTGTTTCTGCCCCAATTGGCAGTTTCTGTTGAAATCAACACTTTTATCAAGTGTCAAGTGCTACACCCACCTGATTAGCTTATTAGCGAGAATTGACCCCCATCCATTCGTTTCAAACGCAAACTAAAACAAAGAAACAGACAGCATGTCACTATTTAGGCTGTATTACTACATGTAACAATTCTAGATCAGGTAACCACATTGTCACCATTGTGTGTGCTGTTCCCATTATGTGTATTGTGCACACACTTTGGGGTTTCCAGCAGCATTTCTATTAATACGTCCATGTTCTGGGTCTGCCATCCTTATTCTTTTTTTTCTGTATAAGTAATTTAACCTGCAAGTGTTACAGATAGATTTGTGCACAAGTCCGTTTCACCTGAAACAAACAAAAGTCCTGTTAATCTGAGCCTGAACAAATCGATCTGTCACGTAAATAATAGACGGATCAATTTGTTTCTAACTTGACAGGAATTAGATTTGTTTGTTGCAGAGAAAAGGATTTGTGCATGTCTAATTGCAAAATACACATTTTATTAAGTACAGCACCATGCACCATGCACCATGATCACTGCAGTGATTTAATGTGGTCAAGGTGCCTGGAGTCCGTATATACAGCGTTTGGCTATGAAACACTGCACATACAGAGTTTAACTCCTCTGCTGCCGGAGGGGACAAATCATGGTTTGCCCCATTACTAGGGGACTGGGCCAGTTCTGATGATTTGAAAAATTCTTTAATCACATGGCTGCAAGGCCATATATGACGCATGCAGACATAGTGCAGATGTTTATGTTTGCAAAAACACTAGAATAAGCAATATGCACAATGTAAGTGACGTTGAGAGTGGAGAGATGTATCTATACTAAATGTTTTGCAAATGAAAATGAGACCCCTCTGTAGGGTACAGTTTTCATATACCCCACCTGTAACAGGGACACCAAGTCCTCCTACAGTAGTGGGGGTTTGTCCGTATGAGTTACTGTGCTATCAGCCCAATTTATTATATTGTAATACACACTGATCAGCCACAACATTAAATCTCTAGACAGGTGAAGTGAATAACATTGATTATAGCATTACAATGGCACCTGTAAAGGGGTAGGATATACTAGGCTGCAAACGAACAGTTATGTCTTGAATTTCATGTGTTGAAAGTGTATACATGTATTATCTCCAGTAAGATGTACTATCCAACCTATTGTGTAAAATAGGATGTATATACCAGTTTTCCACACCCAGGGTCCCCCAGTCCACGTATCTTCGAATACCTACAGATTGTTTGGGCCGAGAGAAATTCTCTAACCAAATGCAATTTATTCCGGATCGATGTAACTTATCTCACATGGCATTCAAACTGTACATAGTACATTTTTCTTGTAGTGCCCTGCTACATGTTAAAACATATGCTTTAGAAAACATGACCTAACAACAAACCCCCCACAGACCAAGTTTGAATATGTGTGGGAATACATAGAAATGCTGGGGTATTTGGAAAATCATTGATTCGCAGTCTAGAGTATTAGTTGTTCAAATAGGCCGTTTCATTAGAACCTGATCTATTTTTTGCTTCGTTTAAAGCAATCTTTGAGACGGCATACTTTGAAGTCTCTTCTGAACCAAACTAAGTATTTGCAATTATGACACACATTCTACAGAAGGGGATTTGTGAAGAATGTTACTCACCTGAGTAATTGAATCTCCAAACAAAACGATACGAGGCCAGGAAATCATTCCCCTATAGAGAACAAGAGAAAAACCAAAATATATATATGAAGTTCTGGTTAGTGTAATTTAGGCTGCAGGAATCAAGGATCGGGAGATATTTCTAAGTCGCAAAAGTAAAGCAATTAACAGGAATATTCTGTTGGTTTCCATGGTGATTGCTCTATTGCTAGATTCCATCTTAAAAACATAGCCCGCATCCGCCCCTTTCTTACACAAGATGCTACCAAGGAGCTTGTCCATGCTCAAGTAATTTCCCGCATGGATTATTGTAACCCTCTCCTGATTGGTCTTCCCAAAAGCCGTACCGCACCGCTACAGTCCATAAAGAACCTTCCTGTATGCTATAGGAGTCAATTCAAGGTATTAATTCACACCTATAAAGCACTGAACAACTCTAGCCCCTTTTATATCTCCTCACAGATCCATAGGTATGCCCCTTCTCGGTCTCTCCACTCTGCCCGTGACCACATCCTGTCCGTTGTACGCACCCGTACGGCCAACTCACGCTTGCAGGACTTCTCGCGGGCGTCTCCCTTCCTATGGAACAGCCTGCCTACCGCCATCAGACTCTCCCCTAGTCTTGCATCTTTTAAGAAGTGCCTTAAAACCCATCTCTTCAGGAAAGCTTATGGCCTCCCAGAGTAACCTCTACCTCAGATACCTGTCTCTTGCTCTCTCCTAAAAAGCAGCCCACCTTATTTGACTGCAAACTCCTGTCCTAATGTGTTTTACACCCCACCTCCTATAGAATGTAAGCTCGATTGAGCAGGGTCCTCTCCAACCTATTGTTCCCTAAGTTTTTTGTAATTGTCCTATTTATAGTTAAATCCTCCTCTCATAATATTGTAAAGCGCTACGGAATCTGTTTGCGCTATATATATGGCAATAATAATAATAATATACAAAAAAATAAGACACTTCCAGGTTTATTCAGTAAACTGAATTTTAGTGAATTAAAATCTGAATGGCAAAAGTCTATAATAGCGAAGATATTTCCAAAATGTTCAGCTACATTTTTTCACTTGAAATGTAATTCGCTGTAATTGGGATATTTTATTGGTTTAAAGGAACATTATAGTGTTAAGAATACAAAACTGTATGGCATTAGACCTTCCCCACAAGGAAGCATTGAATCAATGCTTTCCTATAGGTTTTTTAAAGACACTGGATGTTCTCATGCACAGCGTAAGGACATCCAGCGCTAAACTTCGTGTAAATGCAGGAGGTGCCTCTAGTGGCTGTCTGGGAGATCCCTACTAAAAGCAGTTTTAACACTGCAATATAAACGTTACAGTTTCTCTAAAACTGCAGTGTTTTCAGCTGCAGAGATAAGGGGACAGTGACTGCGCCAGGACCTCTTCAATGAGATGAAGTGGTCTGGGCGCCTGTAGTGTCCCTTTAATAATGAAGAAGTCCTAGACTAAGTGTTTTCAGTGCACAAAGCGCACAAAGTAGACAAATCACCAACTGCAGAACTGTTGTTCTGAAAACGACGTCCATGGCATTAACACAGCGACAACATTTTCACAATATACACACATTCAAAAACACACACTACACAAACCTGGCACACATTACACAGTCTGCATGCGCACAAACACACTATGGGGCTACAGGCGGTGAATCACTCCGGGATATCCAGTATTCCAGGGACAGGCAACCTACGGCCCTCCAGATGTTGTGGACTACATCCGCCATAATGCTCTTACACCCATAATGCTGGTAAAGCATCATGGGAGGTGTAGTCCAAAACATCTGGAGTGCCAAAGGTTGCCTATGCCTGCAGTATTCCATAGTGAAACACTGGACATTCAGACTGCAGCCACCATAACCACTTAGAATCACTGAAGTGGTTATGGTGCTTGGAGTAACCTTTTAACCCTTTGTGAACCAATGGACACTGGAGCACTTCACTCAAATTCAACCCAGACCTTGTATGAAAATGACTTGTATTAATGACTATAACAGATATAACAGGAATAAACCATTGTGTTACTACCCCCACCCACACTAAGACCCTGAATAGTGAAATCACAGGACTCACACTGACTCTTCCTGCTACACCACAAGGAAATAGTTCCGGTAAGGGGCGGGGAGAGAGGATGTCATGTGATCACACCAGGCCACGCCCAGTACACCCAGCAGTGAAGTCTAGGAAGTTCAGACTGGCTTGTGATAGTGTGCGGAAGGACACAGACAAACAGCTCACTGTGAACAAATAGCACCAGATACTTTGGGTTAATATTATCACAGCCTGCTTTATAGTTTACACAGAGGGGAAGTTATGTCGCTTAATTCATCCCCCTAGGGGGATTTACTCTCCTGACATTTTCCATAGAGAGGAAATCTGTGAAAACTCTTATAGACTCCAAAATGTAAATAATTAACATTCCAACACAGTAAAAAGACAAGACAAAGCAGGGACTGCAAAGTCTTATTTTCTCTCAGATTTATGTCAAAAGGTGAAACTTTAAAGAAACATGAAAATGTACTATTACATTTTATTTTTACAATTTTGTAGCAGATATCTCAACTTGCAAAAATGCATTTCAGAGAGGTGGCTTCACCCACCCACCCTCTCCAACAGCCACCAAACATGTATCAACACCTTGACAAACAGATACACACACTAATACACACACATTGACACATAGTCTCAGATACATACACTGACACACAATCAGATACACACAGTGGCACATACCCTCTAATACAGACAGATACATACACTGACACACAATCAGATACACACAGTGACACATTCCCTCTAATACACACAGATACATACACTGACACACAATCAGATACACACAGTGGCACATACCCTCTAATACACACAGATACATACACTGACACACAATCAGATACACACAGTGGCACATACCCTCTAATACAGACAGATACATACACTGACACACAATCAGATACACACAGTGACACATTCCCTCTAATACACACAGATACATACACTGACACACAATCAGATACACACAGTGGCACATACCCTCTAATACACACAGATACATACACTGACACACAATCAGATACACACAGTGGCACATACCCTCTAATACAGACAGATACATACACTGACACACAATCAGATACACACAGTGACACATTCCCTCTAATACACACAGATACATACACTGACACACAATCAGATACACACAGTGGCACATACCCCCTAATACACACAGATACATACACTGACACACAATCAGATACACACAGTGGCACATACCCCCTAATACACACAGATACATACACTGACACACAATCAGATACACACAGTGGCACATACCCCCTAATACACACAGATACATACAATGAAACACACACTTGGATACACACAGTGGCACATACACTAAGATTCCCACACTGAAACTCAGATATCCACACTGACACAGAAATACACACTGACATACACACACACACACACACACACACACATACAAATACATACTGACATACACACAATCTGACACACACATACATGTCATACTATACAAAGACAAAAAGGAAAAAAGAGGTGGCGCTAATTAACAAATGTGCTTAAATACACTTACATATACAAGTAAACAAAACGGGAACAAAAAGGTGATTGCGCAAGTTGAGTATAGCTCCACAGGTTTTGTAGAACGTCCCTAGGTTCTGTAAATATAGAACACCAACATAGGGTAATATGTTTAAACATAAAGTATAAAAGTGAGAAGCTTGGAAAAACTCACAATTGTTAGAGCATTTATGAGTTTGCTCTAAACTATGGAGGCAGAATGCATCAATCATACTGCCATGTTCACATTTGCAGCCACCCTCCTGTTAGCTTACCTTTGTTTCCAGGAGGGTACTTTGATTGGTTTTTTTTTTCCTGGCTGAGGATGATGGGAGTGAGCATGCAGCAGCAGCAGCAGCTCACTCCAGCCTCTCCTCTGCCTCCTTGTAGCTGCATGTCTCTCCTGCCTGCAGCCTCCTCCCGGGGAGACTCTCTGTGAAGCAGGGAAGAAGTGACAGGCTGTAGTTTCCTCCCTGGGGATGGTCGGCTCTTAAAGAGCTGCAGCAACTGACCAGGCCCCTGTTTAGTGAATATTCGTAGGGATGTTGGCGCAAATCATATTCGATATATGATATGATATTCATTGTGTGTGTGATTTCCAGGATATTATATGTGATTTGCGGGTGTGAGGGAGCTGCATTCACAATGTGGGAGACTTGAGATGTCTGTAGTAGATATAGTCCCAAAGGAGACAACTTCTTCGAAGTTATACGTAACACAGTTCAATGATAAAGGGGGAGAGGCAGGCGCGTGCTAGTCTAGTGCGTCGGCCTCTTCCATTAACTTTGTGGAACTAACAGACATGGAAAAAAACTCCCTGTCTATCTGAGTGGGCAATCTGAGGTGCTTTAAAATTTAAGACCAAAATAGTCAATAGTACAATAGTCAAAATAGTGAGAGAATAGCTGACTTATAGAGGGTTTCCAGTTCACCTATTTGATCCTAAGATTTTGAATTCACTTTGAATGTAGACAGTTCACACTTTAGTAAGACACTGTGTTAGTGTTTTTAACATCTAGGCACTGGCGTATATACCGCGGTTGCAGGGGTCGCAGCTGCGACCAGGTCCGTCACTCTAGGGGGCCCAGCCGCCCTGTGGACCCCTGCCGCCATGCTTTGCGACCCCGGCCCGCGCGGCAAACCGGCAGGGCCGCATGTGAAGGGGTCCATCTGGTGGCCCATGGAGATGTATTTTCAGGGGGCCCCGGTCAGCTTTAACAGCACGACCGGGCCCCCTGAGATTATGTCAGACAGAGCTGGGAGGAAGTGACTTCCCCGGTCACTCCTCCCAGCTATCTGACAGAGCCGCGCGGGAGGAAGGAGTCAGAGTGGGAACTCTGACTCCCATCAGGCTGAGCCCCCACTGGACCGAAGGGAAAGTCACCTTCCTGCAAAAGGTAGGAAACAGGAGGGTGACAAACATTTTGTATGTGTCTGTATGTACGTATGTGTCTGTATATGTCTGTGTGTGTATGAGTCTGTATCATACACATACATACAGATACACACACACACAGACACATACATACATACACACATACAGACTGTATGTGTGTGTGTCTGTGTGTGTGTGTATGTCTGTCGGTGGTGTGTCTGTCTGTCTGTGTCTGTCGGGGGGTGTATGTGTGTGTGTCTGTATGTATCTGCGTGTATGTATGTGTCTTGGTGGGGGGCCCATGAATCAGTTTTGCACCGGGGCCCCATGTTTTGTGTGTACGCCGCTGCGTCTAGGTAATAATACTCCCTGTATCTTTCATTGTTTGAGTTAACCTGTAAAGCCCTCGTCTGATGTTAGTGGAGAACCCAAGTTCCAGCATCTCCCTGATGGGCAGGTACTTACTGCATATCAAAGTACAAATGGTCAACCTTGAAGGGCAGGAAGATTGTGTTTCCTTCAAACAGTTTGTGAATTTCAGTCAGCAAATTATATTCAGTGCCGCCATCAGTGGGATACAACCCCTACACTGGTAAGGAGCCCAGCCGTGCTCTGGATCAGACCGGACCATGTTGCAGATCTGTGAGGACATGGGCCCCTTACAAGTAGAAACTCTCCCCATTCATCGTGAGCACACCCACAATGTGAGGGAGGAAGTGGATGTCTGCTCACGTGTGTATCTGAGTTTGTCAGTGTCTGTCTGGCATTGAGTATTCCTGTATGTATATCTGTAAGGCAGTTTGTTTCTAGGTGTGTGTGTGTGTCTGTCTCCAATGTTTATGTGTGTTTGAGTTGAATCGATGTGTCAGGGTGTGTGAGTGTGCATGTGTGGGAGGGTGGGGGTCCAGCCCGTGTTTTTAACGGCCCCAAGTGTTCTAGTGGCAGCCCTGATTATACCCAGACTTCTCATTGGTGCTATTCAATCATCATATATAAGGAGTGTTTCTCAGACTGTACAGTAGGTGGATTATTTATGGAGTGTCCAGTCATTCAGCTGGTGTTAACCTTTGCTGGTGTAGCAGGTTGAAGGGATATCTGACCTGACATAGAAAGGATCTTCTATTGTCCTGAAGAAAGTCTTTAAAGGAACACTATAGTGTTAGGAATACAAAGCAGGTCATAGTGTCCCTTTGCCCTTCCCCCAGCAATGAAAGCATTAAAAACCCTTTCAACACTTAACAGGACACGTCTCTTTTCAGCCTATTTAACCGATTCCAGCGCCAAATTCCCCAGTGTTAGCTCTGTCTCCTCCAATATCATTGTCCCTGAAAGTCCAATGCAGACAAACGATATCAGAGGACACAGAAGGCACTACTGTGTCTTATGTATTTTCCCCATGCTTGCCAAAAAGGCAGAGCTACCTTTTGTCAAGCCCTTAGCTGATGGCTTATGGGGTAAAGGCTTTGTCTATGGAGGCCCCTTCATACACATCAATGTTGTTCTCTCAAGCATGCGCGAGAGTACAGCACTGACCATTTCTGGCCGATAACGCACCAGAAGTCAAAGAGGATAACACCAGATGAAGATGGCGGTAGCATTTCCCTGCAATGGATCATCGTGCTGAAAGCACTGCAGTCACCATCAGAATTTTTTTACAAAATATGCAAACCCCAGAAGGGGAGAGAGACAGTTAAAATCCTGGGTCACAACTTAAAATTTAGGACCCAGGCTATTTTAGCGAGTTCCCCATTTATGGACCAGGCAAATTAGACACATCCAGGTCAGTGCTGTCAAGAAGATGGTTGTTATGGTATCTTGGCTTTCCACAATGCAATGGAGATAATTAACAATTGGCAGAACCCAATAAATAGAGAAAATTTATGACAAACTTACCGTAATTTTCTTTTCCTGGCTATTTCTCATGGCAGCATCACTTATGGGTAGCTCCTCCCATAGCAATCGATTAGATTAATTAATTAGACTGATAGGTATAAGAGTCCCTCCTCCCCTTACACCACAGTCCAATTATAAAGCTAAAAAAAAGAAAATAATGGGCGGGAACCCTGATGCTGCCATGAGAAATAGCCAGGAAAAGAAAATTATGGTAAGTTTGTCATAAATTTTCTCTATTCCTGGCTAATCATGGCAGCATCACTTATGGGTAATACCCAAGCTCACAGAATTATAGGGTGGGAATAATAAACCGAGAAAAAGACACTAAGACTCTCATGCTGCAAAGAAATGTAATATCAGTGGGATAAAGAAACTGTAGACAGAACACTCTTCCCAAAGGAGATGGAAGGAGAAGCCACGTCCAGATTGTAGTGTTTTATGAACGTCATTGGGGAAGACCAGGTGGCTGCCCTGCAAATATCAAAGTATGGAACCTCTGTCCAATTATGAGGAGACTGACCTTTAGAGATATATGCTTTCCAGACTATTAGCGAAATCCAATGTTTCAATGTAGATAAAGAGGCCACCTCACCTCTCCTAGCTCCTGAAGGTAGAATGAAGAGTAGGTCAGACTTTCTGTATGACTTAGAACTAAAAAGGTACATAGATAGACAGTTCTTAACATCCAAACGTTGCCACCTAACTTCCTCTTGAGAAGTAGGATTGGGGTAGAATAATGGAAGGACCACGTCTTGAGAGAGATGAAACTGAGAGACCACCTTAGGAAGAAACTCAGGTCTTGGTCTCAGACACACCCTATCCTGATAAATCTGTAGGCATGAAGACATGGTAGAAAAGGCTTTAATCTCCAAAATTCTTCTTGCGGAAGTAATAGCCACCAAAAACAAAGTTTTGTAAGTCAGATGGGTAGTATCCAAATTTTCAATGAGGAATGAATAGATCATCAGTCAGGTAGTTGAGAACCAGAGGAAGGTCCCAAGGAGGGGTACCGGATCTGGAAGGAGGTCTCAACCTGAAAGCTGCCTTGAAGAATCTGGAGATCAAAGGATCCGAAGCCCATGAGATGTTGCACAATGCCGAAAGAGCTGTGGACTGAACTCTAAGAGTGCTGAGGCTAAGGCCTTTGTCCAGACCTCCTTGGAGAAAATCCAAGATCTGATTATTGCGAGGATGCAAGAACTAAACGTTCTTGGCCGAAGCCGATTCTCTAAATATATTCCAGATCCTATGGTAGCACAAGGAAGTTGAAGCCTTCGGAGACTGCAAAAGGGTATTGACCACCGCTTCCGAAAGACCTAATTGTCGAAGTCTTTCCTTTTCAAAACCCATACCCCCAACTTGAGGCGTTCCGGATGAGTAAGGGAGATTGGGCCCTGAGTCAGCAGATCCTTCCATTATTGGAAGAGGATGAATCCTGACTCATCATGGTTAAGAGAGGAAATCATGGCCATCAAGGCCAGATTGGAATTATGCCAATTATCTTTTTGCCTTCTGGCCAAACCTTCCGCAGGAATCTGGGTATCATGTGTAGGGGAAGGAATGCATACCACAGATTGAATGACAAAGGAAGAGAGATAGCGTCCTGGCCCATCGCCCAATTGTCTGGATGGAGAGAGAAGAAATTCTCTGATGATTCCGGTAAGACGCCATCAGGTCGATGGGCAACCCATGAGAAGACTGCCGGGTGAAGTCTCCATTCTCCTGGAAGAATTTCTGTTCTGCTGAGGAAGCCCGCAGTAATGTTCTCTGAACCCGGAAGATAGATTGCCTTCAGACCTTGGAGACTGTTCATGGCCACCTTCATCAAGGGAGCTAGTTCCTCCAAGAGCAATCTGCTTCTTGTGCCTCCTTGGTTGTTCACATACAAGGCAACCGCTCGGTTGTACGTTTTGATTAAGACCCAAGAATCTTCGATCATCGGGAGGAATACAAAATTGGCTTTGGAAATAGCTCTTAGTTTTCTTAGATTTGAGTGTAGGCGACTCTTCTCAGGTCCACTTCCCTGGTTTCCATGTGGAATTGAGGTGGGCACCCCATCCAAAGGAACTGGCATCTGTTGTAATAACATTCCAAGGAGGTTCCTCCAACGGTAAGCTTTTTGCCAAATTCTTCTTGCTCTTCCACCAGTTCAACCCTTTTCTTACCAGCAGGGGTAGAGTATGCTTTGCTCCAAATCTGTTTCTACTCTGTCGAATTGAAGAAGGAAGCAATTTTGAACAGGGCAAAACTACAATTGGGCCCATCCTAGAGCCCAGAATCTGAGAAATTTCACATGATCGCAGTTTACAAGGATTTGGTAGTAGGCGTCCCTCAAGAATATAGAGGTAATCTAATCCCCTCTTTTGATGCTTTTTAAGATGGTCTGAAAAAAGATTCAATTTTGGACGTTCTTACTTCGAGCATGGAGTTCACTCCTTTTAAGTTCAGGATGAGATGCTACTTTCCTTGGGGTTTTGGAGCCAAGAAGACTTTGGACTAAACCCCTTGGAACCTTTACTTTTTTGGAACTTCTTCTTTAACTTTTTGTTCCAGAAGAGTAGAAATGCAGACCCTCATGGCCCTTCGTTTGATGCCCGCCGACACCTTTGATTTCCTGAATAAATTAGGAAAACTCTATCCTGTAACCTTTTTTTATGATGGATTTGACCCAGACGTCTGTGATATTTGTGGCCCACATTGGGTAAAAGAACTTCAGTCTTCCTCCCACAGTCCCCGAATGGGCCTGAAGACCTTCAGAAGTTTTCCCCAGAGGTTCTAGCTCCTCTTACTTTCGAAGCCTTATTGGTCGATGAATGGGAGAAGCTTTTCCAAGAGGAATTTCTTCCCGGTTTATAGCTTCTGCTGTCCCGAAAGGACCGATCCTTGAAGCATTTAGTCTTCCAGGAAGAGGAAAAAACCCTTTCTGCTAACTTGCGGCAAAAAAACTTTTTTTGCCATCTGCAGCCTTTTGTATGGCATCCTCCAGAACCTTACTGAATAACAGATCTCCCTTGAATGGAAGGCCACACAAGAATGCCTTGGAGGCATAGTCGGCTCCCCACCAATGAAGCCATAAAGCCCTTCTAGAGGCTACAGACAGGGCCATACTTTTAGCAATCATACGAATGATGTCTAGGGAGGCTTCTGCACAACATTCAGTGGCAAGACTTAAGTCCTTGAGATTCTCCAAGAGATGTTCCCTACGGACTCCCCGATCAATGTCCTCCTCCAAATTAGCGAGCCATACTCGTAAGGCCCTTGAGAGAGTGGTTAGAGCCACTGCAGGATGGAGGGCGGAGTCTAGGGCCAAATAGGATTGCATAAGATCCCCATCCATACGTTTTTCCATAGGCTCTCTAAGGTAGGCCATGGAGTCGATGGGGAGCGTAGTTTTCTTTGCCATATGAATCATAGCAGCATCTATTTTAGGCACTGAGTTCCATAGTTTGCAGTCAGTGGCAGAGTAAGGATATATCCTTGTGAACTTATTTTTCAAGGTGGTTTCCTTACTGGCTTGTTCCATTCTTGAAAGATCGTGTCCCTGATTGAAGAATGTACTGGGAAAGTAGGTCTATTAGGCTTTAGGTCCTCCAAAAACCTGTCAGCCTCTCTCAACTCCGACTTCTCTTCCGTGAGACTAAGAGTGTCCCTGATAAGGGTAATTAGTCTATCAATAGGCATAGGTATATTCAACATCCTCCTCACCATCATCTGAGACCTCCCACAAATCAGGGTCTTCATCAGAGCTGGAAGACTGAGGTTCCGCTCTGCGTCTCTTACACTGACCACCTTTCACCATGGTAGACTTAAAGCCCTCAGCAATACTTGGGAAATCCAGAGTTTAAGGTCTTCCTGTGGGGAACTTCTATTGGGAGCATCCGCTATTTCCAATAAGCATTCTCTGAAGAGGTTCCTACCCTGGAGTTAACAGTTAATGCATTTATTGTTTTTTTCCCTTGATTTTCTTGCAAGAGAATCCAAATGTGTGCTGGGGCCGAAACGAAGCCATATATAAACATATATTACAGGATCAATCTGGCACTCTTTTTAAAACCCCCCCATAGTATAAAAGATTATTGGCTCACCTATGTTTTCTAGAGAGGGATCTTACAGAGGCAGAGGGGAAATCCATATTAAAAAGTGAAATCAAAGGAAATGTAAAACCACAAGTCCCAGCAAAACTCAGAGGCAAACTGACAAGGAAATGTCCAGAAATTTAAAAATCACAAGGAGAAAAACGGAATCCTACCTTCTGATAACAGAGACCCACTCCACGCAGCCAACAGCAATGCACAGACCAAGAGAGGAGAATCAGAGCGCTCCAGATCACTAACAGCTGATGCAGCATGCAGGCACAAACTCAGAACCCACAGGTTCAAATAGTGCTGGGGAAAACTGACAGTTCCACGCATGCACGGACCGCTGGAACGCACACCATGCGTTCCAGATGCTCACGTCACAACTGTGCGACCCACACATCCCTTCCGGTCCAGCTGGACCTGGCCGCGATGTCACTTCCACCCACTGGAACGCACTTCCGCGTTCCAGCGATCAAAACACGGAATGAACAACCGCTGAGAGCCCCAGAAAACCAGACAGCCAAAGGTAAAACAAGGAGGCCAGAAGTAAAATCACAAGGAGATACTCTAGTATGAATTCCAAGAAAACTGCCCTAAAGGGATGGGGGGACATTAGACCCCAATTTATAGGGGCAATGACAATAAAAAGGGGAATTTTTAAGGAGGACCAACCACATAAATTACCTTGAAACTGTGTCTCCCTCAGAACACCAATGTAAATCCCACGTAGCAGTCCAGTCCTGACACGGAACTTGACCCAGTTAGTTCTGCTCATGCAGGCTGTTTACTGGGTCCTTCAAATGAAGAGAGGCTGAACTCCATTTGGAACGAACCCACGACAAAAGCAGGAAGGTGGACAAAAAGAAAAAGTGTTTAAAATCCTATAGAATCAGCTAAGGACAGGAAAAAAGACTGTCGTGTAAGGGGAGGAGGGACTCTTCTGCCCACAGTCGCCCTGGCTTGACTGGGACCCTTGAACCGCTCCTTCCTGGAGCCGAATGGTGAATCAGCTCTAGTCCTTACAAGGACTTTCCCCGTTGAATATCCTGCAAGCTGGAACAACAGACACAGGAGTATTTATGCAAGTTTCCCAACAAGGGCGACACCCAGGTGGACAGTGAGTCATACAGTGAGACACTCCCATACACAAACAATAGAATCCCTCCTCTGTGCTTAGGAGATAATTGAATCAGGAACTGTACTAATCTAACCTAATTATCTCCAAGCACAGAAAAAACATACAATTTTATGAAACCCTAAAAAGTACCTTAAAACACACAAAACCCCAAAAGTTACATCCCCTGACAGCCCTGGTCTGGGTGAACAACATATCCAAAAATCACCCAGATTGGTTCAGGAATTTCCTGGAAGTCATAGTTTTGACCGACTGCAAGCATGGCCCCATGCCCAAAACAGTTCCAGGGAAATCAGTGCCACCAGTCGGTCTAGTTCGGTAGTCTTTTACAGGTTTCCCTCCGGGCCCATAGTCATGGGCGTAGGAACCCAAAAAAATATGGGGGGGATAGCATTTTTACTCGCCGGGTATATTCTTATTCCGTAAACTAGGAGTTGTTTATCCCATTGTACAGCGCTACGGAATTTGCAGTCGCTATATAAATGATTAAATAATAACATTAAAGGGTCACTACAGGGAAGGGGTTTTACTTACCCGGATTCAAAATAACGAAATAGGAGTGTGCGAGCAGGGAGCAATAAAACGCTTCTATTCAGAAGCGTCATTGCTCTCTGGTGCGCATGCGCAGCTTTGACACACATGCGCAGATACTTCATAGGGCGGCATTCATGTCTCGACTAGGAAGCACCTCTAGTGGCCATCTGAGTGTCCACTAGAGGTATTCCTCATCAGTAATGTAAATACTGCCTTTTAACGAAATGGCAGTGCTTACATTAAAAAGCCTGCAAAGACATGCTATAGACACCAGAACTACTACGTTTAGCTGTTGTGGTTCTGGTGACTATAGTGTCCCTTGAATATAGAGAGGAAAAAAGAATCATCACAAATGTAAGAAATAAAATGTCTGTATCATTATTCTAAAAATTATTTTAAAAAAATAAAAAATATGCACATTCCTAGCTTAATTTTTAGCACGACATATGACACAAACATTTTGTACTTTGCAGATTACTTTTTATATTTTTTTTATACATATACAGATTGTGTAATACTGCCCCTGACTTAGGGTGACCACATTTCGTAACTGCCATTCAGTGACACTGTCAGAAATGCATTCCATACATTTTACTACCCGTCTCTTACCCCTTCCATTTATATTAGAACCCCACCTACCCCTTCCATGAATATTAGAACCACCCCCACCCCTTCCATGCACAAAAGAACCCCCATATCCCTAACCCCTTCCATGCATATTAGTACCCCCTAACCCCTTCCATGCATATTAGAACCCACCCTACCCCTTCCATCATATTAGTACTCCCCTAACCCTTTCCAATAATTTTTCTACCTCCCCCCTCCTCCCATACATATTAGTAGCCCCCCTAAACCCTTCCAATTATTTTTCTACCTTTGTCCCCCCTTTTACCTGACATAGCAGGGGGACCTCTGGACGTCTAGCAGGCGCAGTGTCAGACTGAGCGCCGGGTAGTCACGTGACACTCGGCCAGGGCCGGTGCAAGGATTTTTGCCGACCTAGGCAAAAGTAAAGTTTGCCGCCCCCCCCATGTGACATCACAATGCCCCACCCATATGATCTGCCATGTTAACTAACGCCAGTGCTGGAGTGCCGCCGTGTTTACATTAAAAGGCCTGCAGGGACAGGCTATAGACACCAGAACCACTACATTAAGCTGCAGTGGTTCTGGGGACTATAGTGTTTCTTTAATGTGAGGTAAATTAGAGATTAGTGCCACGAATAATATACTAGATTGCCTACTTACAACCAGATGAGGATGATGATGGGCTCTAGCTGCAGTCTGGCTCCACTGGTCTGGTGTAGAACAGGCTCTCTGGAGGCTGTTTGTAACTGTGGTCACAAAAATCAATGTTCTGGGAGAACGGGAAGCAGCTCCATTTTTTGGGGGGCCCTTTACACAGCTCAAGGTCTGGGTCCCAGGGTCCACCTTCATGTTCCACCAATGAGTTTGTTCACAGGGGGTGGAGTGTGTAGGGGATGTCCTGATATGTGTGTAAGGAATGCATTGTGTGAATCTGTGTTTGTATGTGTAAGGGCTGCAAGGTGTGTTTCTGCGTCTGTACGGTGTGCATTTAGTGTGTGTAAGGAATGCATTGTGTGTTTCTGTGTGTGTAAGGTTTGCATGATTGTGCATGTGTGTGTGTGATGGATGTCAATCTCACTCCCTCCCTCGTCACTCTCTTTCTCCCCCTCCCTCCCTCGTCACTCTCTTTCTCACCCTCCCTCCCTCCATCCCTCTGTTGTAGCGTGGCCGAGCCCTGTATCATGGGCACATGGAGCTTTTGTTTCTTGTACCCGGCCGGACTAAAAGGAAGTGAACACTCAGTGTGTACTTCCTGTTAGTCTGGCCGGGTACAGGAGACAGATGCTCCCTGTACCCGCAGACCATGATACAGGGCTCGGCCACGCTACAGGGAGGGAGTGACAGGAGGGAGCGCTGAGCGCTTCCCTCTGTCAACCCCTCTCCCCATGCTGCGCCCGGGCGGGCAAAGCTGCAGCTGCCTGAGGATCTCTACAGAGCGCTCAGGCGGCTGCAGCATGAGGGGTGCCGGCGGAGCTGGGGGGGGGGATTTCCCCATAACCTGTCCCCCCCACATG